TTTGCCCCACACTGTATATAATTTTTTGTATGTTATGTTGCTTCTACATCTTAAAAAAAACCATTCTGGATGGGCCAGACTGCCCTTCCTGGAGTAGCCAATTAGGAGAGATATCAAAGGGCCCAGCCAGGAGCTTGCCTTTGATATGCAAACTAACCGATTCACAGCCGTACTCCAGTATCTGGCCCTGCACCCCAGAAGGCAATTATTTCTCTGCCTTAATCACCCCAGGGCCAGGTACCAGGCAATTGAAAGCCACCCTGAATTTTTCAAACTAGCTAATCTAAAGTACGTGCCCTGCCCTGCCCTGCCCTGCCTTTTCCCAGAAACCCCAACAGAGTTTATGTCCTAAGTACCTGCCTTGGCTCTGGCCCACCCTGGTGTCTTTCCCATGTAACCCTGTGTGCGCAGTGCCTCCTGTCTCTAGGACATTTGAGTATAATAAATTGTTTTCCTGAGCTTTTACTGTGTCTTTTTTTGTGGCTGCACCTGTTGGTAAACCAAAATTGACTTTAAACTGTAATAAAGAATAAAAAGCGTTTATGTGAGGAAAAGGAGCTGAAGCCTGGAGGCATAGATTCAAATAAAAACTTAAATTATGTTCCACCGAGACAAAATTCACCTTTCATAGCAAAATTTCCCACCCAGGCTCTACATTATGTCTGTTTTTTGTAAATGAGTTATCCAAATTGTACAGTTCTGATAGGGCAGGACAGGTCTGTCCATTGGTAGAAAAGTGAAAACCAGGGTTTCCCTTCAGTGGTTGACTCAGACTGTGTAAACAAGTAGGTCATAGTGTAGGAACCAACAGTTCAGTCTGAGGTTCTTCCTAGTTTACAGAATATGGAATGAGACCCTGTCAACAAATGGCCAATAGACTCTTGCTGTCTATAACATTTGTGCCCTCAGTTTGAGGCAGGTTAGTAAAACGCTAGGAAAATTCCCTTGCAAGTGGAATGGGGAAACAGAAACAGTTAAGCAGATGGTTGAGCAACTAACAGTCAGCTAAAAAGTCATAAGACCCTATCCTCCCTAGCCAAGTGTCATTGGACAGGGACTGGGACTGAAGTATGTCGTCCCTGACACAGTCTGGAATGTATGGGCCCTTGACTTGGTGCGGGAAAGATTTCACAATATGAATCCAGGTGATTTTGAGGGTACATTTAATAAAGCTGGGGACAGTGAAACAAAAGAAGGGCTTAAAATAGAGGAGGCAAGGTCATAGCAACAGGACTGAGCCTAGGCAGAGTTGCCTTGGCCCTTTGGAAAGAAAGTCACAGAAGCAGAAGTGAGCCAGCTGGGCTGCATGGACTTAGAAAACAAGTGGCAGAGACAAAAGGAGGGCCCTTGGAGACAGGTACATGGAGTTAGCTTAGGGCAAGCTGCCACTGCCCACTGCTCCCCTGGTTGAAAGTCTCCTGGGGACATTTAGAACTTAGGAGAAAGCAGACACACATCTGAGGAAAGGTAGGGGGAGGTGTGCTCTAGGGAGAGCATGCACCTCCTTTGTCTCCTGGGTCCTTTGTCTTAGGGGTTTTTATCTGTTTTCTAAAGGCAGAAATTTCAGGAGAGGTCTCAGGGGAGGGTGTCAACAGTTTTCCAGGTGTCCTTTGATATGCTGATACATCAGAATGAGAGTATAGAGAGATCGGTGTCATTCTCTGGTCAGTTTCACCTTCAAAGAATGTTGCTGGAAAGGGACCAGCACCTGGGCAGGTCTGCCCTCGGCACAGTCTGGAATGTGTAAATTGTTTGTGCCTGTTTCCTTGGTTAAGGAAGACCTTTTTATTTTTTTAAGATTTTATTTATTTTTTAAGAGAGAGGAAAGGGTGGGAGGGAGGGAAACATTGATCAGTTGCCTCTCACATGCCCCTAACTGGGGGGGACCTGGCCCACAACCCAGGCATGCGCCCTGACTGGGAATTGAACCAGGCTAGTGCTCAGTCCACTGAGTCATGCCCGTCAGGGCAGGAATTTTGCGATTTATTAGCTGGCTGTAAATTGCTCAGCCATCTGTTTAGCTGTCTCATTTCCCTATTCCACTTGCCAAGGAATTTTCCTAACTTCTTACTAAACTACCTCACAAGGTCACCTAGGAGCAGACGGTTTACATCTCTCCTCCCCAACCAGACAATGAGTAACTTAAACCACTCTAGTCAGGAAGAGAGGTAACAGCCAAACCCAAAAACAAGATGAAGTCAGGGGAATAAATAGCGACAGCAGCAAAGAACAGTAAGAGCCAGACAAATCCAAGAGACGGATGGAGCTGACCAGAGAATGATCCCAAACCTCTCTGTATGTTCATTCTGATGCATCAGCATATTAAAGGACACACCTGGAAAGCTGATGCATATTGAGACCCTCCCCTGAGACCTCCCCTAAAACTCTTACCTATTGAAAAACAAGTAAAAACCTTTTGGACAAAGTATGCGCTCTCTTGAGCCTACCTGGGCTTCTCTTTCCTCAGGGATCTTTTACTTTGTCTCTCCTAGACTCCAAGGGCCCTCCTCTTGCATAACTTTTCAGTAAGCCAAAAGCAGCCCAGCCTAGGCTCACTTCTGTTACTGTAACTTCCTTTCCTGATTCTACCTCTATACTGAGGTCTTCCTTCATTTCACTGTCCCAAGCTTTAATAAACATACTCTCAAAATCACCTGAACTCGTATCTTGAACTCTTTACTGCGCAAAGTCAAAACCCAGCACATCTCAGACTGTGCCAGGGCAGACCCACCTCTGCCCAGTCCCTTCCTGAGGACGAGGTGACCGTGGGGAGTACATCTCAGCAGCTAAATTTCTTCTCATGGTCCACAGTTGACCATATCATAAAAGAATACAAAACCAAATCATATTTGATAAGGATCTACTATCCAGAATATATAAATAGCACTACAACTCAATAAAAAAAAAAACAACCCAATTTAAAAATGTGCAAGAGCCCTGGCTGGTGTGAGTCAGTGGATAGATTGAGCATCGGCCAGCAAACCGAAAGGTCGCCAGTTTGATTCCTGGTCAAGGCCCGTGCCTGGGTTGCAGGCAAGGTCCCCAGTTAGGGGTATGCAAAAGGCAACTGGTTGATATTTCTCTCCCTTTCTCACTCCCTTCCCCTCTCTAAAAAATAATAAACATTTTTTAAAAAATGGGTAAGGTATTTGAATAGACATTTTTCCAAAGAAGAATGCAAATAGCCAAAAAACACAAGACAATATGCTCCTTGGTCATTAGGGAAATGCAAATCAAAACCACAAGATGCCACTTCACACCCACTAGGATGGCTATTATCAAACAGATAGCCAATGACAGTGTTGGGGAGGATGAAGAGAAATTAGAAACCACATTCATTGCTGGTAGGATTATGCAACGGTGCCACTGCTTTGGAAAAGTATGGCAGATCCTCAAAAAGGTAAACATAAAGATATCATATGATCCAGTGATTCCTAGTTGCATAGCCAAGGGAATTGAAAACATATCCACACAAAAATGTGTACAAGAACTTTCCTAGCAAGGTTATTCGTAACCAAAAGGTAAAAACCCAATACCCATCAATTAATGAATGCACAAACAAAATGTCTATCTAAACAATGGACTATTCAAGCATAAAACAGAATGAAGTACTGATTCATGCTACAATAGATGGATCTTAAAAATAGTATGCTAATTGGAAGAGGCCAGACACAAAGGGCCACATATTATTTAACTTCATTCATATGAAAAGCTCAATAATAGGCAAATCCAGAGAGATAGAAAGTCATTTAGTGACTGTCATGGGCTGTGCAGCAGGCTGAATGATGAGTGACTGTAATGGGTATAAAGTTTCTCTTTGGATGATGAAAATGTTAAAAAAGTAATTGTGGTAATGGTTGCACGAGTTTGTCATTATGCTACAAAACACTTTAAAACGGTAAATGGTATATTTTATCTTGTTTAAAAATCTATCACTTTTTTCTTTAATACCTATTCTCCTTTCTCATCTTTACCAAGTCCCATCACTGTTACTTTTTCAAAACCTAGATCAAAACTGAACTTTTTCAATGAAAATTTTAAAAGCAATTACACCTATCTTAGCCTATTAACCTTCTACGCATGAACCTTGCCTTTGCCTCGTAAGTCAATCTCTGTAAGATTGTGTCTTACACCACTTTTTATGTGTCTTAGTACTTACAAAAAAATCAATTGTGCACTGAATTATACTTGATATTTCCTATTCTTCCCCTAAATTTTTAGCACAATCATTCACCATATACACATTAAGTATCTGCTTTGTCCCAGGAAGTGCAGCACAAAGAATAGGGTTCTTATCCCCAGAATTTATAGTCTAACATTTATAATTTTCTTCTATCCTAATTTTTGTTTAGAACCTCCCCCTAGATTACAAACTTCTTTCCATTGCATTCTCCCTGACTACTTATTATAATGCTCAACATACTCAATAAGTAATTGCTCAGTACTGGGGATAAACCAATGGTTTTTGAAATTACCCTGCCGTGCCACTAATGATGAGTTCCTGACTAACTCTTCTAAAGAGCCTGCATTTAGTTCTGCCAAGAAGATGCTTTAAGACTCATTCACTCATTAGTTGAGCACCCGCTAAGTATCAAGCTTCACTTTCTTGAATTGTTATTAAACTGCAACTAATTTTAAAGTGTTTCATAAACATTTTTTTAAAATCAGGGGCCAATAAAGATATTTAGGGGGTTTTAGTAGACATTTTAAAAAGCTATGTTTTTTATGCATATAATACCTAATCATTTTTATAAAAGTTGTTACAGGCAACACTAATCTTTTTTTCTAGGTGGAAAGTTTAGTGTTTTTGAGTATAGAATACTAAATTATATAAAATAAGATGTAAATTACTCTAGGTTAAAAGAGCTGATTTTTTTCTTTAAGTAATAGTTTTGAAACACCACAAATTATAACTGTCCAATGGACCTAGTAGGACTTCGGCAGGCAAAATTTTTAGCGACCTTTTTAAAAATTCAGTATTATTACACAGAATTAGAGATTGTTGTGATTTTTATTTAATTTGGTATCGTGATAACAGCAGTGAGAAAATTATGTTTTACAAATACTGCATTAATACTACATCATTATGATATGGCTTTACACTGATTGTATATAGAGGAAAAAAATAACATTGGAATTAAGGCAATAAACACATGTGCAAACCAAGCACAACCCTGACACAGTCTTTAATAAAAAGCTCTTGGTTAGATGATGGCTGATATTGCTGCATGCTGGTCAGTCACTGCTCTGAAGGATAAGCTCTGAATAGCTTCATTCATTTAAAAAAAACTCCCTCCTACTGGCCCACGATGGCTAGAAGCAGCTTTCGGTAATCTCCACTCGTGTCACTCGCAATCACTGTGCCCAGGGTCTTCTGGTACATCTGACAGAATATCTGTTTTATTTGTACAAGATCAATCTGCATGTAAGAGATGATATTTTTGAGGTTAGAAAAGAGCCGTCCAAAGATAATTGGTATTTATTAGAATTATTCTTTGATAGTGAAAAGATCCTAATTATAATCAAAGCAGAGGGACAATAAACCAAGTGACTGGCATTTTACAGCTAGTTTCATAGTAGTGCTAGCATCTCCCAATAATGGCCTAATTCACTGTTATGTAAAAACACTGGGTAAGAGTGGTACTAGGCTCATCTATTTTTTAAGTACTAGCCATTTAAAACCCATGTTCTAAGATGGCTATTGTCAAAACACAGAAAATAACAAGCGTTAGCAAGGAGGTGGAGAGGTTGGAATCATTGTGGATTGCTGGTAGGACTATAAAATGGTGTAGCCACTGTGGAAAACAGTACGGTGATTCCTTAAAACAATAAAATAAAATATTATTACCATATAATTCAGCAATTCCACTTTTAGGTATATACGCAAAAGTAAAAGCAGGGACTCAAACAAATATTTATACACCCATGTTCAAAGCAGCATTGTTCAGAATAGCCACGAGGTGGGAGATACATACCATAGGATTTTATTCAGTATTAAAAAGGAAGGAAATTCTGACACAAGATACAACATGGATGAAACTTGAAGACATTATCCTAAGAGAAAAAACCAGCCACAACAAGGCAAATAGTGTGTGATTCCACTTACATGAGGTACCTAGAGTAGTCAAATACATAGGAACAGAAAGTAGAGTTGTAGTCGCCAAGAGTTGGGGAGAGAGGAAGGTGAATTACAGTTTAGTGAGTATAGATTTATAGGTGAAAGAGTTCTGATGGTGACAGTTGCACAACAATGTGAATGTACTTAATGCTACTGAACTGCATTCGACAACAGTCAAAATGGCAAGTTTCATGTTACATAGCTTTTACCGCAATTTCTAAAAAAGATCCTGCATAAAATATTTAGGTCTAAGAACAAATATACAAAAATGTTTTTTAAAACATCTTATTCTGGTTGTCTTTTTAAAAGCAATTTACCTTCCTTAGTATAATTTAGTTGTATATGTTTTCTTTCAGTTAAAAAAATCCAATAAATATTTAAAAATCAAAGAGAGGAAAACATCTGAAGCTATACTTAGGTAAAGAGACAAAGATAAATTTAAAAAAATAGTTCTATGATTACCAAGGTATACTAAATTTCAGGAAATTTTTATATCTAATAGGATTAATCTATGTAGCTCTTTCATACAATTTTTTACATAAACAAAATGAAAACCAAAGAACACTTCCAACTTGCCATAAACTAGTATTCTCCACAAGGTTCTAAGGTAGGAAAAATCTCTTGGTATCGATGCTTCACTGAGGTACATACAGTCTGTGTCACTAAAGTGAGCCTCTTTCATGGCGTGAGGAAAGTGAACTGTGCTTTATACAAACTACCAGCAGTGACGAAGACAGTTTTTTCTTAATATCATTCTTGAAGGATTGACAACCAACTAAAGAACTTTTAAGAAATCAACATTCAAAATTAATTAAGATCAGACAAAAAGAGAAAGTCTCACCTCACTTCGAGTGACCACGATCCTGATCAGGGTGGAGTCATCTGTGCCAGCGCCTTTCATAGAATAGTAGAGCCTCTCAGCAAAGAAGGCCGGGCGGTTGAGGGCACACTGCACTGCAAGTTAAGAGATGCTTCAGACACAGAATCATGACTTGACAATGGCGTCCACGCTCCAGCTTCACTGATTGCTTCTAACCTGCCTTTGATCATTTTCTAAGTAATCATCTCAGAAATCTGATGTGAGTTGAAAATAGCCCCCTAGACTTTCCTCAGCATCCATCTTTATGTCTGGTGCACCACACAGGCTACTTTCAATTCTAAATGATTCCCTCTGCCCCCCCCCCCCCCCCCCGATAAAACCCACTTTCACTCCAAAGATGTAATAGCTTAATTATTTACATTTTCCCCCTTCCATTGAGAAGATGTGTAGCAACTGTGCCCTAGTAGTATCTTTCAAGAAAATCAATAATGAATTCTGAATTCTAGAAGGCAAACACATTACTTTCCAGAGAAGAATATGAGATATACTCTGATATAAAAATGAAAACACAGATTTGAGCAAAGATTTAAGAATAATAAGAAATCTGACACATTTTCTCTTAAACAAATTAACTTAGCAAAGTCTTTTCCTGCAGCTGGTAGAGGTATCCTAACTGTTCGTTATTAATTTAGCTACAATTACTATAGTATCAATAATATTTGTAAGATATTCAATTGCTAATACCGATGTGTTCCTCTCTTTAGTCCTATATTCTCCATGAGAATAAAATTTCTATTTCATTACATATCTAAATATGAGGACACCAGAAACTGGGTTTTTAATTTCAAAAGAGAAAAGGGTCTCCTTGGGCTGAGTACTTGCAGTACTTTGTGGGGGGGGGGGTCGCAGGGGTAGAGTGTGTGACTCAAAATGATACTTTATATGGTGGCACTCATAGCTGCTTAGTGCTTTTCCATTAACCTTAATGCAAATGCTACAATCTACCATATATTCTTGCATAGTCCTCAAGAATGACATGCAGAATAAAGATTAAAGAACTCCAAAACAACCCTAGTTGATCGTGCCACCCACCATTCATAGGGAATTGCATATAAAAACAGAACTGGCTCAGCCTCAGTTTAAGCAGACTCCAGGGAGGCTATATTAATTATCAGGACTTAATAGGAACAGCTATTCAAAGCCTCCCTCATTTATCAACAAAGCAAAGCAAAACACAAAAGTATCTTACGGATGGCCTTCAAACCACTCTCAACATTTCCGGAAAACTCACGGCCAACACTGCTTAACAAATCTCGATTAGCCATCTGGAAACAAAATGTATAGGGGTTAAAACCTTTTCACAACTTAAAGTAAAAGCAAGATCTTAAAAATAAAAACTCATACCCTGGAATAGGCCTCCATGGTAGCTCTCAGCTGAGGAAAGCTCCTTGTGGCAAGAATCATGTTAAAGCAAGATTCATCTGTCCCCAGTCTCCCTTCGCCAGCTTGATAGAGACGTTGAGCATCTTCCTGAGCCAGCTGGTGGTTCACATTCTGGTTCTCATCACGATTTCCCTGCAAAAGGAGGAGGCAGGAATTGGAAGTGGCACAAGTTCTATTAAAAATTTTCTTTCCCATCTATTCATTTACAGATTTAAAGGGACAATTTATTAAAGATTAATACATAAAGTTTACCATGCCTAGCTTTCATTTCCAAAGAAACTACACTAGTGTAACTAGTACTTTATCACACAGCAACCTTGGATTTAATAATACATGATCATGGTTTAATGAGATTATATTAAAATGAAAGGTTTTCAGGGCTTTGAGAGCTAAATTGAACAAGAAAAGGTTTCCCTAAAAAATTATATACATATATGTATGATTTATACATATACACCTCACACATAAACAAAAAGAAAAATATCTCTACTAGGAGATATAAACTACCACTTAAAGGAAGAAATTATTATTCTCCTTAGCTGGGATTTAAGATCAATAGGTATTATATTTAATTCCATTTTGTATTCATTAATGCAACTAAAAAGTATGGAGCACTTGCTTTGTGCCAAGCTGTGTTAGAGTTCCTAGAGAAAGAGAGCCAGTAGGTTGTCTATATGGAAAGCACAAGGTCTCTGACCTCAAGGAATTTAAGTCAAGGGAGGGTACATGTAATATGGAGGCTTCACAAACTTCCTTTCCTTTATTCAAGTGTAATCTTATTACAGTAAGTATTTATTATGCATGTATAAATAAAAATGATGCATGAACTTTTTAGAAGAAGGTATAAGCAACTCAAGTTCTGCTAGACTGCTGATTTGTATACCAAACTCTCCCCTGGATAGAAGGGAGGGAGGGAGGGAGGGAGGGAGGAGGAAGGAGAGAGAGAGAGAGAGAGAGAGAGAGAGAGAGAGAGAGAGAGAGAGAGAGCTCTGAGCCTGAATGAGAATAAAGCTTAGATGGGCAATTGGTTTCTCTCAAAAACAGAAACCCAAACCCAAACCCAAACAAAGGCTGTCCTCTAGAGTCTGTGTCCTTCTGAGAAAAAAAATGGAGAGGTGTTCCTTGAAGGTGAGAAACTATCTTCTGAAGAACGCTGGGCACAAGGAATATGTAGAAGTGTGTTTGAAGTGCATGACTGAATATAGCACAGGAAACGGTGTTCAGAGAAAATCTCCCATGTTATTGCCTTTGGATCCAAACACATATACAATCCCATTTTCTTAGGAAGCCATTCTCCTTCTTAGTCCCTGGAAGAGATCCCATTACATTATAAAATGGCTGGGCCTTGAACCACAGAGACACTCTGCACCTCATATTAAGTCTTCATCATTTTTTAGTGTTGTATCTGTTCCTGTTTGTTTTCTTCTCTTTTTAAAAATATTTTTATTTATTTACAGAGGGGAAGGGAGGAAGAATGAGAGGGATAGAAACATCAATGTGAGAGAGAAACATCAATCAGCTGCCTCTCAAGTGCACCCTGACTGGGACTGGGCCTGCTACCCAGGCATGTGCCCTGAGAGGGAGTCGAATCTGTGACCTTTTGCTTTGTGGGACTACACCCAACCAAGCAAGCCACACACCAATAAGGGCTCTTCTCCTTTTTAAATGTTAACCTACTCCCCTGCCTGCTCTGTTACTTGGTTGTAGGTAAATTCAACTTCCTCCCACCCATTCGTATTCTTTTCTCATTTCCACATCCATTCCATGTAGCTCACTACCTTTTCTGTAGCTACCTTCCCTTGCTCTGAAGAGCCTCTCCCCTACTTTCAGATCCTTCAAGGCTCTCCAACCTTGTGCACTAGCAGGGCAGCCAGTCACTCCTAATACTGAATCAGTGTGCTAGTCTTCTGCATCATCTCTTTCAAATAAACCCTCATCATCTCATTCTAAGTATGTCTGTAATATCATTCCAAATACCCTATTTGGAGAATTTTCTTTTTCTTTAAACATTGATTTTTTGTTGTTGCACTTTATTCATGCGTTCATTGGTTGATTCTTGTATGTGCCCTGACATGGGAGCAAACCCAACACCTTGGTGTATTGGGCCGATGCTCCAACCGAGCAACCTGGACAGGGCTGGAGAATTTTCTCTCACCTCTCCAGCACATCTTGGGAATCAGAATAAGGAGATGTCAATCACAGTATTTCTCTGACTCTTGAAACACTTTGCATTTCTAGCTCTCCTCACACATTTTTCACCCAAACAGCACTTCCATGGCATACCTTTCATTGATGGTACAACTTAACTGGTAGTACAGTGCTAAGCTTAAAAATACAGATTCACCCCCATCCTAAGACACAGCTTTCACTGATTTCTGATTCCATATAACCTTAAAGAGGTGAATTTCTGGTTCCTTCAAATGCCAAATCTACAGAAGTAAATCTCAAGAGCGACTACAAAGAAATGGGTACACTGGGTTGTGTGTTGTCCCTCCTAAAGGTGGCAAGATTCCGAGGGGGCTGAATAAAGGAGGTAATAGGCAGTAGAGAACGTTTTCTCCACCCTCACACAGACATTCATTCTATAATCACCTGGCACATGGATACAAGTAAACGTTCAAAATGCCCTGATGTATCTGACCGAATGTCCTTTTCAAGGTCTCGTCCAAATTCTGACTGATAACATCTGACAATTTCTTGGATTTCCTGATTAGTTCTTGTGCATAAAACTTCAATCAATACACGTTCCTGAGTTCCTGCTCCCTATGTGAAATGAAGAAAGGGAGAATTATACAAAAGAAAAACAAAATCTCTGAACGTTATTAAATCTTACTGTCCCATCAAATATATCGTTGGCCTCCAGAATATACAGAGGCCAGAGCAGCTCTATATATTCGGAGATATGAAACAATATATTGGTTTAGTTGTCACTAAAAATTCAGAACTGCCACAATTTGTGGGTTTTTTTGAAATATGATAAAATAGTGAAGGAAAATGACATATAATACTGTACCTTCATTGCATTCCGTAAACTCCAGGCATCATAATATGTAGTTGGCATGAACAGGGCAAGGACCAGTTCTTCCACGTTGCCACTTAACTCTGATTTGAGATCTTTAATTAAATCCTGTTTAATTACAAGTACAAACTAAGTATACATGCTCTCCAAATTTTGTTGCTTAAGTTTTTAAAGGAAAACATGGAAAATGAAATGGAATTTCTTTTTGAAAACCTAAATTTAGAATCTGAATATTATATACTAAAAAATAAATAAATATATACACTTAAAATGTTACATTCAAGCAAATGTATTTTATTCATTCTATCAATAAACACTTAAATAAATTCTTACTCTAGTTCCATCACTCTATCAGGTACAATGACAAGCAATTCATGAAACAAAGAAAAACTCAAATGAACAAAATGAGAAAGTTATTTATTAGTATAAGAAACTGTTCTTGTTCTATGAGGAAGTAGAAATCCTCACCATGGGGAAAAAATAAAAAGATAAACATCTAAAAAGAGATAAGGCAGCCTGTACTCCAGCACCAGATGAGTAAGTAGCACAGAAATAAACAGAAAAAGTTGAAACAAACAAGTTAATGTAGGCTACAGGATACAGAGAAAGCTTTTAGTCCAGATCCTGAAGAGTATATAAAAATTAGCAGTAAAATTATCTGTGGAATTTTTCTTAAAAACAAAAACAAAAAACACTCCAACAACAACTACAACACAAACACTGATGTTGAGGAAGAATACTCTTATTTTGCATGTTTTTTTTCTTTTTAAAAATTTTTATAATAGCTCATATGAGCCAAACTGACGTCACGTGCTGGGAAGCAAGGTCTCAAATGCTCCTCTGCATGTGTTTTTAAGTTCTAAAGGAGATCATGATCAGCTAAGGTTGAGAATCATCAGTATAGAGGCAAGGATAAGCAAAGCTTGTTCAATGGAACAATAAGACAACCAGTTTTGTTAGACGGGAATGTTTTCACAGATTAGTAAATCAAAGTTTTAACTATCTGTTTGGGTTATTACCTTGGATACCAGGCTAAAGAATGTGAATTAGATTCTGCATGCTGGAGGAGCCACTGGAAACTTCTATGCAAGAAAATGGCATTGTTGTGTCAACAATAGGCAGTGTGGATTATGATGACAAAAAAAGCTATGGGAACATTTAAGCTACTGGAATATTTAGGTGAGAAGTAATAAAGGCCTGGAATTCAGTGGTGGCAATGGAAGTGCGTGAATAAGGGGAAAGAGAGTAAGAAGTATAAGTTCAGAAGTTAAAAAACAGTCATGGGATATAAAGTATAGTATAAGGAATAAAAGTCAATAATATTGTAAAAACTATGTAGGGTGTCAGAGGGGTACTAGTCTGATCAGCATGATCCCATCATAAGTTAAATAAATGTCTAATCACTACATGTGCACCTGAAACTAATATAATATTGTATGTGAACTGTAACTGAAAAATTAAAATTATTTTAGAAAATTATAAAGGTAGAAAACACATTTTTAAAGAGCCCCTTTAAAGACTACATCAATAAGACAGTCAGTAACCAGTTGCTAGAACAAGGCAATGCCAGGCATACAGTAGGCACTGAATAAATATTCACTGACTGACTGATAAAGAATAGGAATCGGAGAAGACCACGGCAGCCTAGAAGAACAGTATTTTTATGAAATAACAGGAATTTAAGAGAAAAGTTGGATGGGGGATAAGGAAAATAAGCTGTGAATTTAGTTTTAATTCTAAAGTGATATATGAGAAAATTCAGAATGGCGTCTATGTAGCATAGACTGTCTATGAACTAAAGAAATTCATAATATGGAATGTATTTTTATGAGAGAAGTAAGTCTGACATTAAGCTCTAAGGAAATATAGCATTTGTGTTGTTTAATCAACCTTGAGACTAAAGATGTGGATCTGGGCTGGACAGAGAGGGAAAGGCGGAGTAGAATAGGCAAAGTGGGACCAACAGCTGCACTTCTACTCCCATTCTGAGAAGAGTAAACTGCATCCAGAGGATGTTAAGACACTTTCAGGATTCCCAGGTAAGTGGCAAATGAATGCTACTCAGTTTTCCCTTTATAGCTGAGCAGCGATGGCACCTTTTAGCCATAGAATCTTGTTAGTTTTAGTCACAGGTCATCCATTCAACAAATATTTACTAAGTGGATACTTGTTATTGTTCCTGGACTTGGTACTATAAATACAGTGCAAAGATAAATATGAACAACATGGTTTGCCCGAGGGGGCTCGGAGTTTTGGGGAGTGGACAGTGAGATTAGTTATAGTAGAGGTTTTACAAAGTGCTGTGGGACCACAGTGGAAGAAATAGCTAAATTCTGTCCAGAGCAATGAGAGAAACTTTACTGGGGAGCCAATTTAAGCCAAATCCTGAAGTTGTTCGCTGTGCAGAAAAGAGAAAAAGATGCTCTAGGCCAAGAGCACATATACCAAGCACAGACATATAAAAGATCATGATGTGTGCAGATGATGGCAAGAAGTCCCATATGATTGTAAACAGAGGGTATGTTTAGAGGGAGGGAGAGGAGCAGAAGATGATGCCAAGGACCAAGAATAAGTGGGGCTCTATAAGGAGTCCTTGAATCCCACTGTAAGGAGAAGACTGAGAACCAAGTTGCTGATCATGACTGTGGTCTACTTTCTACTGAACATCTATCACACACCAGACATAGTATAAGGTATAACCACAAGATCAAGAAGTACTCTAGAATTAGAAAGGCTTTTAACATTAAAAAAAATAATAAATATACCACTCCTGGAGTCTCTGAAATGTAGCTGCACCTATTTTGTTCCATCAGTACTGATATAGTAATATCCAACCTGACGTGAATGCAGGGTCTACAGGCTCTGTTCATGCTCACTCAAGGGAAAAAAAAAAAATACCTTTCCATACATGGTCTTAAAAGCTGCTTTAATTTTTTGCCTTTGATCGTTGGAACGGTTGGCCACAACATCCACAATTGCCTGTTCGTCTGTCCCTGAAAGAATCACACACGTTTAAGGCTGTGGTTGGGTACTCCTTTAGGACATCTCTTAGATGCTTAAAGATACCTGGTGCCATATTAAATTGAGGTAGGTGCACACAGGCTGACACATAAACTTGGTTTATGATATAAAGCTTATTTTTACTTTAATCACTTAAACTTATTATAAGTAAGACAAAATTCTATTTTCCTTACCAAAACCCTTCATGGCTTTACGAAGTATTTCTGCATCTCTCATAGCATCGAAGTTGGCAGCTGGTCGAATTGTTCCTTGAGTTCCCTGAGTCATTGCGGCAGGCTGAGAACAAGAGGCATAAAACCCAAGTCAGTTATTGTGCCAATTATTTCACAATATATACAGATACAAAATCACCATATTGTACACCTAAAACTAATACAATGTTAATGTCAATTATATCTCAATAAAATTAGAAAAAAAAAGAATATGAAAAAATTTTCACCTTCTTTAATTAAAAAAAAAAATTTAAAATAAAAATCAAAGAAGCATTTGAAATCTTGTTCTCAGGCATAAGTCCTCAAGTTTGGCTCAGATAAGCTCATAAAAATTCAAAAAATAAAAACAAAAATCCAAGTTAGGATTCTTTGCTGGCAAGACAACAACTCAAAACTTCCCCAGTCAAAACTGTTAAGCAAAGAGGTCAGTATTTGGGTTTTAGGACAAGGACATAAGCATTTCATTATAAGCTAATTCTGGAATAGGCAGGAAAGACATATCTCCATCCTCCCAACAGACAGTCAGACACCAAACTTTCAGGACACTAGTTAAACTTGTGAAATTAGTCATACGCTTCCTATGCCTTGAATCCCAGTTGGTATTCCTTGGACTTCCTTGGGATATAGGATATGCTTTGAGGCAAGGAGAGGAATGGAAGATGATACCAAGGATCAAGAATAATCAGGGGCTATATAATGTCCTTGAATCTCACTATAAGAAGATTGAGAAACTTCTAATTCCACTTGGAAATTCCTGCTTGGTAGAATAGGAGGAAAAAAAGAGATGATTCCTGGATAGTGTGAAATGAGTGGCAGTGTTTGATTTAAAGACAATAATATAATAATGGCTTTAGTAAAGTAGAACATTGAGTTGCCCAATGAACTTTTCAATAAGCTATATAATTTTGTTAATATCTCTTCTTTCCTCTATGAGCCCTGATTATTAGACATCAAATAAAACACTGTACATGAAGAAAAGCACAAAAGGCAGCTGCTCTGTCTAGCCTGCCAGCTCTCTGTCTCTCGCCAAGAGTAGACTTTTTTTTTTGGTTTAGTGCTCAGGCTATACGTTTATTATCCAAAAGTGGACTTTTACTTTTTGCTTTAATAAACCTTGCCACTGTCGCTTAAACTTATAACAAAAAAAACAAAAACAAAAAAAAAACAACCACACAAAATGAAAGTGATGATTAGCGATTCCTCTTGATAGACTTTATAAGGAAATATACCAGAAAGCAACATATAGACCATATATATATTTTTTCTTTTTTAAATTTATTTTATTTAGCTTTAAGATTTTAAAGATTTTATTTATTTTTAGAGAGAAGGTAAGGGAGAGACACATGCATGTGTGAGAGAAACATCAGTTGGTTGCCTCTCGTGTGCCCCACCTGACTGGGAATTGAACCAGCGCCTTTTCAATTGGATTGAAAAGTGGATTGGAGGTCAGTGCTCAATCCACTGAGCCACACCAGCTTGATGGGGCTATATTTTTTAATAGAAATATATGAGAAAAAATTTTTTTAATTACCACATAACAAATACCACAGTAATAACTGCTTCAGACAAGAATCATAAATGAATGTTAAAATTAGGGGGTAAAAGTTTGATCTAAAGCAATTATCACCAGTAATTCAATAAGTCAACAATAAGTGCCTCCTGATATGATGCACCAGGGATACAACATCATTTTTGTGGTATTCCTGTCCAAATGGCATAACCTAAATTTAATCATGAGGAAATATCAGACAAACCCAAATTAAGAAATAAGCTACAAAATAACTGGTAGTACGATATGAAAGTGTCAAGGACATGAACAACAAAGACTAAGGATTGTTTCATATTAAAAGAAACTTAAGAGATATGACAATAAATGCAATATTCCATCCCGGATTGGATCTTGAACCAGACAAGGGCATTAGAGGGGCAAATGGTGAAAGGTGAGTAAGTCTACAATTTGGAAGATGGTATTAAATAAATGTAATTTCATCATTTTGATCATCGTATTGTGTTTATGTAAGAAATTAACATTTGAAGAGCCTGAGTAAAGGGTATACAGGAATTCTATGTACATGTTCTTGCAACTTTTTTGTAAGTCTTAAATTACCTCAAAATTAAAAGTAAAAACAAAATTAAAAATGCAAAGCTATGAAACAATTCAATAGTTTTCTTAAAGTAGTCAATTAGCGCTCAAGAGGGATGGAATGAAGATGATATCTTGCCATATTTTTTAAAATTCAATTTTAATAATATATTTTATTTAACCCCATATGTCTAAAATGTCACTTAAACATGTTTTCAACATAATTTTAAAATATAAAATGATTAAATTGCTCTTTTGGCAACTGAAGTTGTACTTAGACTTATGCTAGCACCTGTAGGGCAAAGTAAATGGGGAGAAGGGGACCAGACCATCATTCAACAAACATTTTTATGGTCAGTAATTCCTCCCACTCATTTATACTCTTACACCAACATTTTCTTCTATCAGTACACTTTACCAACCAACCCTTCACTAGTTTCTAAGCCAGGAATGTATGCAGAGTACTAACAGAAAAATGTTTGTATAGAGACTATAAGGAAAAACTAAAATTATTCTATCTGTAGGAAATATGCAAGTATAAATTTTTTCAATGTAGCACTGTCACTGAAATCCTAAGTAGAGAAAAAGCCTTCGTTTATAATATACTGAACTAGACAGTAAGAGAAACTAATCCTCATCAACTACTGTTTGATGATTCTCATTTTGTGTCGTCCCATTCTTGCTATTGCACCTGTAGGAAAGACTGGTTTGTTTTATTCTTTGCTGAAAGTCTAGTTTGAAGTGAATCTTCATCAAGAATACTATCATCCTTCAAGCATTATACTAACTTCAAAGAAATCAGAGTCCATGCTGTTAAGGTCAAAACTCTAAGAAGGAGAGATTTCTCAGCACAGCAAAGTTCACACTATTGGCCACCAAGAGTTTCAACCTTTAAAATCCATTTGAGTCCAATCTCCCTGCTGAAAACTGCCATAAAATTAGAATTGGGTCAATCAAAGGTTACATGGCCCAAATGCCCAAGCAAGACCAAAAAAAAAAAAACCCAACAAACAAAAACCCTGGACTGGATGGTATCACAGGTGAATTTTACCAAACATTCCCAGAAGAACTAGCACCTTTCCTTCTCAAACTATTTCAAAAATTTCAAGAGGAAGGAGAGCTCTGAAACTTATTTTATGAGGCCAGCATTATTCTAATTCCAAAACTAGATGAAGACACTACAAAAAAAGAAAGAAAATTATATGCCACATAGAAGCTAAAATCCTTGACAAAATATTAGCAAACTGAATACAGAAATACATCAAAAAGATCATGCACCATGATCAAGGGGTATTTATTTTAAGAATGCAAGCTTGATACAACATTCACAAATCAATAAATGCGATTCACCACATAAACAAAATGAAAGATTAAAAACACATAATCATATCAATAGATGCAGAAAAAGCTTTCAATAAAATCCAGCACCCATTGAAAAGGAAGAAGTAAAACTGCTTTCATTTGCAGATGACATGATACTGTACATAGAGAACCCCAAAGATTCTACCAAGAAACTACTAGAACTAATAAATTCAGTGAAATAGCAGAATACGAAATTAATATCCAGAAATCAGTTGCTTTTTCATATGCCAATAATGAATGATCAGAAAGGGAAATTAAGAAAACAATCCCATTTACAACTGATTTAAAAAAAAGTACCCACGAGTAAATCTAACCAAGGATGTAAAAGACCTGTACTCAGAAAATTATAAGACACTGAAGAAAGCAGCTGAAGAAGGCAAAAATAAGTGGAAACACATACAGTGTTCATGGATAGGAAGAATTAACATCATTAAAATGTTCACGCTACCCAAAGCAATCTATAGATTCAACCCAATTCCTATCAAGATTCCAAAGACATATTTCAGAGAACTAGAACAAATATTTCAAAAATTATATGGAACCACAAAAGGCCCACATAGCAATAGCAATCCTGAGAAGATAGAATAAAAGTTGGAGGAATGTTGCTGCCTAATATCAAACTATACTATAAGGCCATAGTAATCAAAACAGCATGATATTGGCATAAAAACAGACACATTGATCAATGGAACAGAATAGAGAGCCCAGAAATAAACCCACACCTCTACAGTCAATTAATATTTGACAGAGGAAGCTAGTACATACAGTTACTAGTTAGATAAGCTAAATAACATACTACTTACTTAGATAAGCTAGTGGGCTAAAGATAGTTTATTCAATAGATGGTGTTGGGGAAATTTGACAGATACATGCAGAAAAAAAGAAATTAGACAACCGTCTTTAACCACACACAAGAATAAATTCAAAATGGATAAAGGCTTAAATATCAAGACTGGAAACATAAAAATCCTAGAAGAAAACATAGGCAGTAAAATATCAGACATTGACAATAGCAATATTTTATCTGATATATCTCCCCAGGCAAGGGAAATAAAAGAGAAAATAAACAAATGGGACTACATCAAACTAAAAACATTTTGCACAGCAAAGGAAACCATCAACAAAATGGGAAAATCAAGATGGTGGAGGAGTGAATGGAAGTCATAGTGACCTCCTTCCAGGACCAATCTGGAATTACGACTAAATTGTGGAGAAATCACCAGAACAAACGAGACAGGAGCCTTATAACCTTGGACAGACAGAAGAATCAGCTTTAGCACAACCTCACTGGTAAGGAGTGTGGTAGAGACTCAAGAAGGTGGGCGGGGCAGCAGCACCAGAAGGATATCGAAAGGGCCAGCTGGATTCCCCAAGAAGAGCAGGGTCTAAACCGTAAGTGGGGATCTCCAGCCTACAGCACCAGAGCCTAAAAAACACAGATAAGAACCACTGCGAAAAGCAGCAGGGTTGCTCTCTACCAGAGACAAGCGGCTGGAGATGCAAAAAGCCACTTAAAGGGCCAATGTATAAACTTTTCTTTGCAGCCACTTACCCTCGTCTGTGGCAAAGGAAGGGACAGAGTGGGTTACAGACACCTGAGGAGAGACTGGGGAAGGAGGCTTTGGGGAGAGAACTGAGAGAGTTGCAGGTGAGATCCTGGTGTTGACTCATTCCCCATAGGGCAGCAAGCATCTTGCTCAAGGCAGACCACTCCCCTGAGCAGCAACAGCATGAGAGAACACAACAGCCCTACCCCCAGGAGGGACTCAGGCCTGGCCTAGTGGTGCTAAAGCCTGACAGCTGAGTCCAGAGTGGCAGCCACTGATAGTAGATCCCTGGCTAAAGGGGGTGCAGAATGGTCTAGAGGCACTTGACGAGAGACTGAGGAAAGAGGCTTTCGGGAGAGAACGGAGAGAGTGGCTGGAAGGATCCCAGTGCTGACTCATCCCCCATGTGGCAGCAGTCATCTGGCTCAGGCAGGTAACTCTCCTGAGCAGCAGCAGCAGCGTGAGAGGACCCAATGACCATGCCCCCAGGAGGGACTCTGCCCTGCCCTGTGGTGTCTAAGCTGGCCTGCAGAGTGCAGAATGACTAGATTAACAACTGAAGGAGACAGCCACAGACAGTAGATTCCTGGAAGCCTCTAACAGACTGCCTAAGGCCAGACAGGGACGGCATCTGACATCATCAGAGGAAGATCCAGAAAGGAAAAACAGTAGTCTCCTACCATAGAAGCTCACACCACAAAGTCAGGAAATCAAGACGGATTACTTCAAGAAGCAGAAGCAAAAAAGAAGAGTCTCACAAATAATGGGAAGACAAAGAAACACCCCCCCAGTCAAAGGGAAAGGAGGAATCCCCACAAAGAGAACTAAATGAAATAGAGGCAAGTAAACTATCAGATAGTGAGTTCAAAACAATGGTTCTAAGGAAGCTCAATGAGCTCAGTGAGCACAGAGAGAATTATAAAAAACTACAGGGAAACTATGAGGAACTTACTGCAAACTATATCAGCATGGAAAAGGACATAGGAACTATCAATAAGAGGCAAAAGGAATTAAAGAACACAACTTCTGAATTGAAGAACACAGTAGAAGGAATCAAAAGCAGGCCAGATGAAGCAGAGTATTGAATCAGTGAGCTGGAGGACAAGGTAGAAAAAAGCTCCCAGAAAGAGCAAGAAAATGAGAAAAGACTCAAAAAGAATGAAGAAGAGTTTAGGGAAATACAGGACAACCTAAAATGTAATAATATCCGTACAAAGGGATACCAGAAGAAGAGGGGCAAGGGATAGAGAACCTGTTGGAAAAAGTAATGATGGAAAACTTCCCAAATTTGGGGGGAGAAAAAGTCACACAAGTCAAGGAAGCACAGAGGGTCCCATTCAAGAGGAATCCAATGAGGCCCACTCCAAGACACATCATCATGAAAATGGCAAATAGCAAAGACAAACACAGAATCCTAAAGGAAGCACGGGAGAAAGAGGTAGTAACCTGTAAGGGAGCCCCGGTATGGCTAGCAGCTGACTTCTCAACAGAAACACCGCAAGCCAGAAGGGAATGGCAAAAAATATTCCACGTCATCAAAAGTAAAGGCCTACAACCAAGACTGCTCTACCCAGCAAGCCTCTCAATTAAAATGGAAGGTGAAATAAGGAGTTTCCGAGGCAAAAGAAGGCTAAAAGAATACACCTCCACCAAACCAGCATTGCAAGGTACGCTAAAAGGACTGATTTAAGAAGATGAAGAAAAAGAGTCTATGAATACCCAGTTCCTTTCACAGTCACCAATACTTGATATCACCAATATTTTTAATACTTATTAATCTGATTGTCACAATGATGTGTTATTTTAATTGTTCCTTTATTATTTGTTGAAACTAAACCTGTTTTTGTATATTTCTTGCCTATTTCTTTTTTTTTAAAGCCTTAAATGACTTTTTGGTATTCTTTATCCATTTTTTGATTAAATATTTGTACAAATTTTTCCCTAAAAAAAGAAGAAAAAACAACTAGTAACCGTCTTTTAGAGGTGTTGCAAATACTCTCCTATTTTATTACTTGTCCTTTAACTTTTTTTATAGGTATAGTACTATACAGTCTTAAATGTTTAATATAGTCATATTGTCAAAATTTTACTTTACAGCTTCTGGGTTTTAATATGTTACTTCATGGTAAGAAAAATATTATTTTGTATTTTCTCCTAAAACTCCTTAGATTTTACATATTGATTTTTAACTCACTTGAATATTTGTTGTAGAATATGTGAAATAGGGCTCTATATTTGTTTTATTTCAAGTAATAGTGGTCCATGCACCTTATTTGTTGAATAAGCCTCATTTCCCCCATTGATTTGAAATATCAATTGAATCACATATTACATTGTTAGATACATATGTTTGTTTCTAGAATGCTCATTTTATTTCACTGATCTACTTGACTATTTCTGTGTTGGTGTCATGTTTTAATTTGTGAGACTTTATAACGGATTTAAATTTTTTAATATTTTAAAATGGGTTTTGATATTTAAAAAAATAAATAAAATCAATCTGCACTTTAAAAAAAAGAAAGAAGGAACTCCTACCTTTTGCAACAACATGGATGGAACTGGAGAATATTATGCTAAGTGAAATAAGCTAGTTGATGAAAGACAAATACCATATGATCTCACCTATAAGTGGAACCTATTCAACAAAATAAACTAATGAACAAAATAGACCAAAGGCATGGAAACATGGAGCAGATGGCAAGTGACCAGAGGGGATGGGGGAGGAGGACAACTGTGGAAAGAAGGGGAAAGGACTAGACGAAGGACATGTGTGAATGACCCATGGACATGGACAACAGAGTGGGAATTGACTGTGGGAGTGGGGTTTGCAGGGTGGGATGGGTGGAGGAGGTCAAAGAGGGAAAATTAAGACAACTGTAATAGAATAAACATGATTAAAAAAATAAATTAAATAAAAAATAAATAAAAATAAAAAGACATACCACTCAATGGGAGAACACATTCACCAATACTTCTGATTAGTGAATATCCAAAATTTATAAAGAACTTAAAAAACTCAACACCAACAAAACAAACAATCGAATTAAATAATGGGCAAAGGACTGAACAGACGCCTCCCCAAAGAGGACATAGAGATGGCCAAGAGACATATGAAAAAATGCTCAACATCACTAATGCACATTAAAACCACAATGAGCCTTGGCTGGTGTAGCTCAGTGGATTGAGTGCCAGCCTAAGAACCAAAGGGTCACCAGTTCAATCCGCAATCAGAGTATATGCCTGGGTTGCAGGCCAGGTTCCCCCAGTGAGGGGAGCATGAGAGGTAACCACACATTGATGTTTCTCTCTCTTTCTCCCTCCCTTCCTCTCTGTCTAAAAATAAATAAAATCTTTAACAAAATAAAATAAATAAAACCACAATGAGAAACCATCTCACACCTGTCAAAATGGCTACCATCAACAGATCAACAAACAACAAATGCTGGTGAGGATATGGAAAAGGGGGAACCTCTTTTGCACTGTTGATGGGAATGCAGACTGGTATAGCCACTGCGGGAAGCAGTATGGAGATACCTCAAAAAATTAAAATGGATCTGCCTTTTGACTCAGCAATTCTACTTCTGGGAATATATCCGAAGAAACCCAAAACACTAATTGGAAAGAACATAAGCACCACTATGTTCATTGCAGCATTATTTGCAATCACCAAGATATGGAAGCAGTCCAAGTGTCCATCAGTAGATGAACAGATAAAACAGCTACAGTACATTTACACAATGGAATACTACTCGGCCATAAAAAAGGAGAAAATTTTACCCTTAGTGATAGCATATATGGACCTGGAGAATATTATGCTAAGTGAAATAAGCCAGTCAGAGAAAGACGACTACCATACGATTTCACTCGTATGTGGAATAAAATGAACAAACTGACTAACAAACAAAATAAACCCATAGATTGAGAGCAGGCTGACAGCTCTGGGTGGTGGTGGTGGTGGTCGTGGTAAGGAGATGGAGGGATTGAGCAAAAAGGAAGAAGGACTCATGGGCATGGACAAGAGAGTGCTGATTGTGGTGGGGAGAGGGGTATGAGTGATAATGGTAATGGAATGATTAAAATAGCTACAGATTTACAATATGACTAACAATCGATTAACTTCAACAATAAAAAGGTTTGAAACAGTCTACTATGTGTTTCTGAGGAACATCATTTGCTCTATTAGCAAAGCAACACTGTGTAACAGGGAGACCACTGGTCTGGGAGTCAGAACTGGTAGGATATAACCCCGGTTTTGTCTTTCACTAGCTGTGTGGCTCTGGATGAGCTTCTTAACCTCTCTGGGACTCAAATTCCTCAAATCAGGAAAGTAAGCCAGAAAATGGCTAAGGTGTTTCTCTTCTAGTACTGAAATCCCTCTCCCACTCCGGACTTAAAAAAGCTTGAAAATGCTAGATCTTTATGAACATGCAGTATAAAAATAAATAAAAAGATTAAGATAAAGTTAAGCATAAAAGTATACTGCTTCTGTTCCCAGTAACTTGCATAGGACATAGAGAATTAAAAAGGTAATTAATGAATAAAACAAAGAGCTATACAGGGATGGGGCAAAGATTTGACATACAGGAGACCTTTTGAAGCTAGTGAGAAATCAAATCAACAGACAACGTAATTAGCTAATGTGTTTAAAGCCCTGCCAGGCGCCATAGGGACATAAAGATAAAATAGATACAGTTGAGCCCTCGGGAAGTGGTAAAATACACAAGAAATCAGAAACAAATGAAGGTACATGGAGGGGACCTAGTAATTAGTGAACGTTAGAAAACCTTACTCACTTCACTGCTATAATCCAAAGAAACAGGAGAGAAAACAGGATAGGAAGGAAAGGACTCTGTATTGATCTGAAAGAAGAGTGAAAAGTTATAAAGGTAAAAATGGAAAACAAAACCACACTTTTATAAAACATTGCCAGAAACACCAATAACCCGGTCACCCAAGATCATATTTATAATAGTGAGGGAAAAGAAAAAAGAACTAAAACCCATGTTAAGAGCCCAAGTGAATCTCTATGAAAAAGTTATAAGTATCATCACCTGTGAGAAGGAGCCTATTTTTCTCTTATCAAAGTCATCAGCATGCTACTTAAAGCAGAGAAACCAAAGAGAACATGGAGTCTATCAAAAGCAAAGTTTTAAAGTCTAAAGTGATGTTATAGACCATTTCATCTGCTTCATGAAGACCTCTAATGTGGTGAATGAGTGGTGTTCTTCTTTGGCATTATGCAGTTACCCAGACTAAAATTAAAAAGTAGGAGCAAAAATACCTGACTAGGGAAAGGAGCTTGTCCTCCAGGGTACTGAGGAGGCATCTGTCCTCCAGGAAAGCCACCTACATGTTTAAAAACATAGAGCAAACAGGTCTTATATGATTTAGTTTTTCAAAATAGTATTGGCCATTGTTAATATGAAAATATATAAGAACATTCACATTGTTATTCATTAGGATTTCTTTTTAGTATAATTTACTAAATCTAAAACAAAATTTGGTCTTAAGAACCTTTTAAAATATTCTGTTTCCTACATAATATGCTAACAAATAACACTTTTTTAAAAAAACACTTGAACCAAATTAAATTCTGATTCCACCTGGAAAGGATGCCAGGACACAGCTCTGGGGGTCGTTTCATTTGTGGTAGGAGTAAACAGAGAAGTTCTTGAAGGTTGTGTTTTTTGGCTTTGGGACATTATTTTTTTTAATTGAAAAAGTAGGTCCTTATTTTAATCTTACTGATTAAGCTTTTTCATCAAATTAATACAGTTCATGGAACTATGTATTTAAAATTATTTATAGAGGTACTTAGCATAAATGTTTGTTGACAACTATCCCAAACAAAGTTCTCTCAATGACAATTGAAAAACTCAAAACATCATGCTATTGTTTTCTCTGGACAGCTGGTACATACCAGGTAGTGGGACCTGCCCTGGGCCACCTCCGTAAGACTGGGAGGGCGGCTGTGGATAGCCAGAAAAGCCTGCTCCACCTGGCGGGGCTCCGAACCCTTGGCCTGGAGGAACTAGAGAAAAGAAAAAATAAACTCTAGTGACAGCTCTCATGATTTAATTTAAAGTTTTCACTTCATTCAGTTGCCTTACTAACTTATAATATGAAAGAGTTAAGTTGTTCTCTCCCTTTGGACAAAGCTATCTTACAGGTCCCAAGCATGCTAACTGAAATGCCTTACTCACTTCTTAAGTTCACAAATAATCAAACTGTTATATACTGGTCTTTTACTACCATGAGACTTTTTTTCCAATTCCTTTCACAACAGAACTGTTGAGCTTGCTCCCAGTTTTCAGGTCCCCTGCAAATGTTTATCCCTGTATCTTGCCAGCTACATCCTTGCTGTCTAAGGTAAAAAGTAGGCTAAGTGCTATTCTGACCTCATACAGAACAAGCAGGAATGAAGAGGATAAAGGAAAGAAGGGGAAAGCACTGTAGCAACCCCGAATCATCATGCATTTGTTGACCTATAACTCACCTCCAGGATAGGATGGAGCTCCTCCTGGCTGCGGAGCACCAGGATAGCCTCCAGGGGCTGGATAACCACCTGCGGCGGGGTAGCCTCCAGCTCCTGGGTAGCCACTACTTGGTGCTGCTGGGTAGGCACCTCCTCCCATTACAGGAAACCCACTAGGATAAGGATACTGACCCGGAGGGGGGAAGGACGACTCCTGACCCACAGGCTGAAAAAACAGAAAACATTTTCAAAGAAATCTGACCCATCTAAAAAAACAAACAAACAGAAGTAACTGTTAAGGTTTAACTTGTTCTTTTATTACATATTAGAAGTCTTGGTATCTTATACTAGTTTACCAATATACTTTATTTTTCAGGACACTTGTCTGTCAGAACTCAGTTTCTCTATTTGGGAATAAGAACCAGGCTCTTTCCAAACCTTCAGGAACAACTAACAAAGCTCATTGGTTCCTTCATTTCCCTAGCACCAAGAAATATGACAAAGATCCATCTCTCTACCCTAAAGTAAGGAACTCACAGCTCTCCTGCAACACACCTGGGCCTGTTGCACAATGGGGGCCCGGGGGGAGGGGTTGGAAGTGGCCCTGGCCGGGTGCTCAGTTGGTTAGAGCATCGTCCCGATGTCAAGGGTGCGGGTTTGGTCTCCAGTCAGGACACAAACAAAAAGCAACCAATGAACGTATGAATAAGTAGAAGAACAAATCAATGTCTCTCTCTTTCTCTCTCTCTCTCAAATCAATTAAAAAAAAAAAGGTGACCTGAGTCACACATGAGGTGTGAAATTTTGGGTATCGATTCAGATCAGACGACGTTTAAGAACAGCAAAGATTGTTATGTGTTCACTAAACTTCCTTCCCTGGCCACAAAGCTAGACTATACTTCCCAGACCCCCTTGCCGTTATATAGGACCATACGACTTAATACTGGTGAATGAATGTGGACAGAGTAACATACACCACATCCAGCCTGGCCCCTAAAAACCTCCTGCCCAATCCTCTACTCTCTTGTTTCCTTCATCTGCCAGCTGGAAGCAGAGGATCCAGTGGAGGACTCCAAGGTGCTGGGGATGGCAAAGCCAATACCTGGAAGAAGCCTGGGAACCCAAAAGACTACGTGGAACAAAGCCTTCTCCCCACCCCCAAATCCCATCCCCCATGACTTTCAGGAGACTGAAGTAAGGAAGAAATGGGTTTTTATTGTGTTAAGTCATTGGGATGTTCAGGTTGTCTGCTTCAGCAATTAGCCTGCACTGACTGAAATGATCACCAGGGTTCACTTTAGTACATAGGAACCTGGGAACAACCACAGTTCTCCTCTCTCCTGTGATAAACCCAGCTGTATATTCACTTTACATAAGGGTACACACATTATCATTAATCTGTAAGCCCCTCTTTCTATTCTCTCAGACAGAAAGAAGCGCTACATACTTATGAGCATAAAACGGAAATGCATGATTCTTACTTATGCCTCAGCTCTAAGTTTAGTTCCCATAGTAATGACATCAACAGTCAGAACTTGCAGCACATTTATAAAATGTACTCCAAATACTAAAAGTCTCAGAACTAGAAATCAAGGGCCCTATAATCCACTGCAATTTGTTACCTTTGAGTCGAGTTTTTCCTAATTATTTAAAACCTACTAACACAAAGGTTAAAAACCAGTGACTCAAGAGATAAATTTAGCTCATACATGTTGTACTGATTCATACATTTAACATTTAAAAAATTAACTTCCCAATTTTAAAAATTGGGACAATTTCACATAAAATCCAGATTTCTTGCTTTATCTGAAGAAACAGAGTATCTAGCAACATCGGGTCTGCCTCCCTGCACGGCCGTATCAGGTCTCTGCTCTAGCATATCTGTAAGATCTGCCATGGGCTAGTCCTACACAATACCTGTTCCAAAAAATAGGCTCATTTCAGTATTATCAATGCCAATACTTACAGGATATCCAGGGAAAGGTGGGTAGCCTGTGGGGGGATAGCCTGGGTATGACATTCTGTAACAATAAAAAATGTCCTCTGTTATTTCTTGTAAGGGTTAAGGCATTCGAAGATAGTTGTTGTCAAGAGGTCCTATACAAAATACACCTTTGAAAAGAGTCTGGCTGGCATTCAAACGTGGATATGAGGGGTAAAAGCAAAGCTGATAAAATGTGTCTTCATTTCATGATTGGTACCAATGGATTCAGTATAGCATAGTACATGTTCCAGCTTCATATACCATACAATTTTTGTCATCTCTGAATACTACCCGTACTATTATTTATGGAATATTTTTAAGTCAAGAATTTTTTCACTTAAAATTGCTTTATATCAATTCCATAAATGGAAAACATGAAATAGATTTCTTGTCACAAAGAGAAGGTAACATTAAAATGAATATGTAAATGTTACAATACTGTCCACATGCCACAGAAATCTTCTCATATAGTGATATAACCACACTGTGAAAACATTAAGAGTTAAGTTAACATTCAGTAGTCATACATACCTGGATTTACCCTGGCTGTCTTTGTTTTTATAAAATTCTAATTTTGGAAAATTTCAAACTTCTTAAAATGTAAAATTAACAGATAAGAAACCCTATAGGCTTATAACCCAGCTACGGTGATTACCAATTCACATCAATCTTTTTTCAATATTCTCTCTCCCTCTCCACCAGTTCGCTGGACTGTTTTGAAGCAAATTCTAGATATTCTATCATTTTAATCTACATATACTTCGGTATACATCTCTAAAAATATAACTTTTTAATTAACAGTGCTGTTATAAAAATATAACCATAACATCATCAATATGTCAGTGTTAAAATTTCCAATTGTCTTTTAAGTATTTTTTTTTTTAATTTTGTACTTTAGGGTGGGGGTGGGATGGGTGGAGGGGGATAAAGGGGGAAAAATTGAGACCACTGTAACAGAATAAATATGATTTATACATTTAAATAAATAAATTTTGTACTTTATTATAGAAAATTTCAAACATTTAAAAGTAGAGAGAACAGTATTAGGCTGAACTACATGGCATTACTGAAATTCATCTGTTTTTAACATACAAAAAAATTTCTTGAAGTTCAACTTAATATAATAAATGTCCATGCAACCTCCAGGTTGAGTTTCAATGACTATGAGGTGGAGGCCAACCCTATGTCATGTGCACCCCAAAGACTGCCCTTCCCTTGACTATCTTAAAGCAAGTCCCCAGTCATCATATCCTTTCACTCATATGGACTTCAACATATTATGTGTAAAAAAGACCAGGATTCTTGCCTTGACCAGTGTTGCTTAGTTGGCTAGGCATCATCCTGCAAAGCAAAAGGTTGCCAGTAATTCTTGGTAAGGGCACATGCTGGCCTCGGCGGTCCAGTCTCCAGTCAGGGCAGTTACGAGATGCAAACGATCTGTTTTCCTCTCTCACATCAATGTTTCTCTCCTTTTCTCCCTCCCTTCCCCCACCTCTAAAAAATAAATAAAATCTTTTAAAAAAAGGCAAGGAACTCTTTTAAACCATAGTCATTTACCAATTTTGTAGCTTAAAAATTTGTTCACGTGTTTCTTATTTTTAGTCTATAGGCCTCCCCTCTTATTTTTTTCCTTGTAGTTTATTTGTCAAAGACAGTTTGTCCTGAAATCTACCACTATCTATCTGGATTTTGCTGATTGACTCTCCATAATATTCTTTAACAGTTATTGCCTGTTAGTAGTTAGATCTACAAAGCTTGGTGAGATTCAGGTTACTTTTGTTAGCAAGAATACTCAACAGGTATTTTGCGTACAGTACTTATATCGGGAAACATGTAATGATCAGCTGTTTCTCTTTTTTGTGGCTGATGATCAACCTAGATCTAATTCTATCATTCTTTCTTTATTATCTGGAATACTTTTTGAGAAATTTCCCTTTAACAACCGTATGGTTTTTCGGAAGTATAATCTATATAGGAAAGATATATAATGTTTGATTTTTTTTTCTCTTCATTTACCAGTTTTTGAAATTTAGGAGACTCAACATGCAGCCACATCCATCTTTATAAATGGGAGACAGAGGAAGATTTAATAGAAGAGGAGAAGGCAACGTGGCTATGAACGCAGCAGACGTTGGAGAATGCTGGCAGCCACAAGAAACTGGAAGAGGCAAGGAACGGATTCTCACCCAGAGCCTCCTAGGGGAGCGGAGCCCAGCCAACACCCAGATTTCAGCCAAGTGATACAGATTTTGGACTTCTGGCCTCCAGAACTGAGAGAAAAATAAACTTCTATTGTTTTAGGCCATCAAGTTTGTAGTTATTTAGTTATATAGCAGCATAGGAAATTAATAGAAATCAACATCTATGTTGTTGCTGACAACAAAATTCCTAAGAACAATTCAAAACTTTTTTTAAAGATTTTATTTATTCATTTCTAGAGAGAGGGGAATAGAAGGAGAAAAAGAGGGAGAGAAACATCAACATGCAAGTGTGCGGGAGAAACATCTTGATCAGTTAAAAACTCTTAACAATTAAAAGCTCTTACCACCCTGGCTGGTGTGGCTCAGTGGATAGAGTGCCAGCCTGAGAACCAATTCAGTTCCATTCCCAGGCAGGGCATATGCCTGGGCTATAGGCCAGATCTTTCGTTGTGGGTGTGTGAGAGGCAACTAATCCATGTATTTCTCACACATTGATGTTTCTCTCCCTCCCTTACCCTCTTGGTAAAAATAAATAAATAAAAGCTTAAAAAAACAAAACAAAACAAAACAGCTCTCACCAACACCTAATTCCCAATGTGAAATCTCTACCACTTGAACCATTCTCAGCTTTTCTTTGCTTAAGCCACTGTTATTAACTGACCTGGCCCTCAAGCCTGAGTTCACTCACTTCTCACCTATTCAGCTCAAATCTTCTCTCTCTTCTTTGAACACTGTACTACAGTACTTCTTAAATGTTAACATACATGTGAATCACTTGGGGAATCTTGTTAAAATGCAGACTCTGACTCAGTAGTTTTGAAATGAAATCTGAGATTCTACATTTTTGACTAAGCTTCCAGATAACACTGATGCTACTAGTCTGTGAATCATATTTTTGTATTAGAATATTTTGGCATCTCTGGACCCAATAACTAATTGGCTAATTTTTTCAATGTGTGTTTTGGCTCTTCTCCCCAGCACGGCTGTAAATAATCTGTATTATTTTTATATCAAGACCCCAAACAAATCCTCAACATTTATGAAAATCCACTACGTAATACCAACTGTCCCTAGATGCTGGTAGAAATATGGGTCGAAGTATGTGGCATTTTGAGAAAAATATATAGGAAAATGAGCTGATAAATTTAAGTTACTATAGTGTTCCTTATGACATAAGCACAGGATAGAAGCAAAACACTTGCTAAATTGAGAATGAATAGGCACATAATCGACTCAAAGTTATAAACTAACAAAAATAAAATAAGTTATAAACACTGTTCCTGTCAGTTCTAAAATGGTTATTTGGTATCCAAAGTCTTGGATGTAAAACAGGAACTAAAATGTTACTTTTGCTCTCTTCTTCCCTAAGCCTGGTTTGTATAAGGAGCAAAGAGATAACGACATCTAAAAACAGTCAAATGGACCAAAAGCGAAAGATGTCAGGCTCAAAAAAAAAAGTGGAGGGGAATCTGAAAATAGTTTGTGAGAGATATGAATAATAATTTTAAAGGCAACAAGTAGTTACAGTACCAAAGACCACATAAGCAACTTAAATTTCTAAATTTTAGGAACTATTCCAAAGTCCTATTTCTGCATTTATTAAATCTTATCTTTAAGGGCCTAGAGGAATTAATTATGTCAACCAGAGTTCCAAAACAGAATGAAAATAAAGACTATCTGCACATGAAAAAATATAATGCAATTTTAAGTAAGTGAATTTGGGTATATTTGAGGAATGTAATTTTATAAAGAACTAGAACACAATTCCATTATAGAAATACTTGCACAAATGCTGTGTGTGTGTGTGTGTGTGTGTGTGTGTGTCTGCGTGTGTATGTACAAGGCTATTGATTACAACACTATTTGTAATACAAAAAAATGTAAAAATAATCTAAAAGTCCATCAATAAGAGTTTAAATAGATTACGGGAACTTGCAGTCAAGGTGGAGGGTAAATAAACATGGCTTGTTCTCTCACATACCACATCAAAATTACAACTGAACTATAGAACAACCATCACTCAGAATCATCAAATATCAAGTTGACTAGAAGTCTGACAACTATGGAATTAAAGAAACCACATCCATCCAGACTGGTAGGAGGAAGTGGAGATATGAACTGGGCTGGTCCCGCATCCACGTGTGGTGGATAAATATTTGGGAGGGGTATCTCAGAAGCGAGGAGTCCCAGCTCCACACCAGGCCCCCTAGCCCAGGGTTCCAGTACCAGGAAGATAAGTCTCCATAACTTCTGGCTGCAAAAACCAGCAAGGATTGAGTCAGTGGAAGAAACTTCTGGAGTCCCAAGCAGTTCCTCTTAAAGAACCCACGCAGGAACTTACTCAGGCTCACGCCCTCTGAGCTCCAGCACTGGAGTAGCAGCTTGGAAGGTACCAGTGACATACAGGGAGGAACTGAAGTATCTGGCATCAAGGTGAGAGCTGGGGGACAGCCTTCTTCCAGACAGAAAAGCAGACAGAAAAGCAGGCAGACGCCACTGTCCCTTTTCTGAATCCTCCCCACACAGGCACAGAACCAGCAGGAGGGTGCCATATCTAAGACTCCACCAACCTGGCTAACACTGTTTGTCCTGCCCTGGAGATCCCCTGAGGCTATGTCCCACCCAACTTACAGCTGGCCCACCCAAGGTGTTAACAGTAGCTTTTTCATATGAATGGCTGGTTCTGGCTCATGCTTTACAACTTGCTAAATTCTCTCAAACAAGCAACAGACGCCACAGTGAGCCGCCAGCCTCCACACCTCTTCCTAAGTGGCCTCAGGCCCGGCACTAGCAGCAGCCAGCCTAAATTCACAACTAGGTTTCCCCAGAGAACATCCAAGCCCAGCACAAGTAGCAGCCATCTGCAAATTACTTTACAGCTCATGCCAGGTGGCCCTGGGCAGAACACAGTTGGGGGCTGACCTTGGCCTACACCACCCAGGAAACCCCAGGGCCTACACAATCAGAGGACAGCTACAGACCATGTTGGAGCACCACCACCCTGATCTTCCACAGAGGATGGTGATTGGTGAGCACAGTGGTCCCAGCCAATCTTGCAGTTGATCAGCCTGGGTAAATCCCTCCCATTGATCTGCCAAGAGCAATCAAGGTTCAACCACAAGAGGAGGGTATACTCAGCTCATACAGTGAGTACACCTCGAGTGCCCAGCTCGGGTGATAGGGGAGGCTGTGCCACTGGACCCTATAGGACACCTACTACATACGGCCACACTACCGAGACACGGAGTCAAAGCAGCTCTACCTAACACATGAAACAAACACAGGGAGGCTGCTAAAATGAGGAGACAAAGAAACAGGGATCAAATGAAAGAAGAGATCAAACTCCAGAAAAAGAACTAAACAAAATGGAGATAAGCAATCTATCAGATGCAGAGTTCAAAACACTGATTATAAAAATGCTCCAGGAATTTAGTGAGGACATCAACAACATAAAAAAGATCCAGTCAGAAACAAAGGATTCACTAATTGAAATAAGGAACAATTTACAGGGAAACAACAATACAGTGAATAAAGCCAAGAATCAAATCAATGATTTGGAATATAAGGAAGCAAAAAAAGTAATCAAAACAAGAAGAAAAAAGAGTCCAAAAAAAACAAGGATAGTGTAAGCAGTCTCCAGGACAACTTAAGAACTCCAACATTCATATCATAGGGGTTCCAGAAGAAGAAGAAAAAGAGCAAGAAATTAGAAATCCATCTGAAAAATTAATGAAAGAAAACTTCCCTAATTAGGTGAAGAAAATAGACATGCAAGTCCAGGAAGCATCTCTAGAGAGTCCCAAACAAGATGGATGAAAAGAGGCCCACTCCAAGACACATCATAGTTAACATGGTAAAGGTTAAAGATAAAGGGAGAATCTTAAACACGGCAAGAGAAAAGCAGTTAGGTACCTACAGGGGAGTTCCCATAAGACTGTCAGCTGATTTCTCAAAAGAAGCATGGCAGGCTAGAAGGAAATGGCAAGAAATATTAAGTCATGAATAGCAGGGACCTACAGCCAAGATCACTCTATCCAGCAAAGCTATCATTTAGAATTGAAGGGCAGATAAAAAGCTCCAGACAAGAAAAAACTAAAGGAATTAATCATTACCAAACCACTATTATGTGAAATGTTAAAGGAACTTATTTAAGGAAAAGATCAAAACTATGAATAAAATGGCAGTAAATGCATACCTGTCAACAAACGACTCTAAAAAACAAAGTAAGCAAACAAAAACAGAGACAGAATCATGGATATGGAAAGCATTTTGATGGTTGCCAGATGGAAAGGGGTGTGGAGGAATGGGTGAAGAGGTGACAGGATTAAGAAGTACAAATAGGTAGTTACAGAATAGCCATGGGGATGTAGAATACAGTGTAGGAAATGCAGTAGCCAAAGAACTTATACACATGACCCGTGGACATAAACGATGGTGTGGGGATTGCCTGAGGGAGGGGGGGATGCTGGGTGGAGGGAGACAAAGGGAGAAAAATTGGGACAATTGTAGTAGTGTAATCAATAAAATATAATTTTTAGAAAATTAATAGATTATGGACAGCCATACAATGAATTGTTATGTAACTATTAAAAATTAGCAGCTCTTTTTTTACTTATATATGAAATCATCTCTAAGTCATATTAAGAGGAAGGAAAAAACAAGGTGGAAAACTGCATAGGTAATTTGCAATCGTATATAGAAAAAATACATTTATTTGCTTATCTACATAGACAATACTCCTGAAAGTCCCCTCAAGGAAGTAGAAAAACAGTGCTTGCCTCGGGAAAGACAGATGGGGCATAGTGAGAAGGATACCTACTTTTCCAAGTACCTCTCACCTTTTCGGAATTGGGCATGTATCATCTATTCCAAAGGTAAATTTTAAAAGCTTTTGTAAAACGCTTAAACAAGCCCTAAGGTGACTCAACATATTACTCAACTTTGCCCAAGGCATAATAAGACATAATAAGGCACTATAATGGTGAACCAGAGCTTTTCTTTTTAACATTCTCCCTCAGCAACTACTTCTAAAAGACTAGAAATTCAGTCTTGGTTCTCCAAACCATCTCCACCCAGTGAGTCAACTACAAAAAGGGGTGGGTCTCACTATGGGAGTCTCATAGTGGCATGAAGCCCAGGAAACCCAAGAGGCAGCTGTTGCAAATTTATGAAATAAATAGGAACAAATAGGAAACAGGAAGGGTGAATGATGATGGCCGACGGCAGATACAATTTTCCAAAACCTGCCTCTTAGTTGGGAAAGACCTATTAAATCAGTAGGCAAGAGCCCTTGGATAAAGAACTGGAGGCATCATGGCTAGCTTCTACAAGGACCGAGTAGGCAGCTACCACCGGTGAGGAATGGTAAGAGGGTTAAATTTGCCGGGGTCAAAATGAACTTTCCTACCTGCCTATCCTACCTTGAAACTCCTTCCCAACCTGAGATAACTCATTACACTCATTATCTAATTAGGACAGATTACCAGATCAGCTCCCTATCAGCTGGCAAAACTAGGTAGTTAAAAGGCAGTTGGATGACTTCCTCCCATTTGTCACTCTATGGTGGACATCAGCCATTTCCCTCTATCCGGGAAGTGTTCGCACATTAAGCGCTGATAACAGCACACGTTTGTTGTTGTTGTTGCTGCTGCTGCTGCTGCTGCTGCTCAGGGAATAGGAATCACACCTGAAATGGAATGAAACCCGAACCAGTGTACAACTCTAGGCGTATGCACTGTGTCCTAGGGTTTACCAAGAGCAGTACAAATTTCGGAAGTTTCCCTAAATTTGCTGTGTCACCGGGAAGTCTCGTCACTGGCCAGACTTACGTTTCGGAGCTGCTCATTGGTTTCCCCACTCAGCCTTCTCCGAGGTCAATTCGGCAGGGCCACCTCCTGGCCCCAGTCCCTCCACCAGTGGTCCACCTGCCCGCACGCGGGGCGTCACTCCTCCCCTGATCTCGGACAGACGAGCGCCACAGAGAACTGGCGGACAAGACTTCCCGTTTCCTGCCCGCCGGGCCGGCCGCCTCGCTTATCCCACCCCAAAGCCACCCTGCCGGGCAGCGGGGGTCCTGAGACACGCACAACGAGTCGCCCGCCACTCGGGAGGCCCATAGGCCCCTGCACCGTCCCTTGGCGCGGGGACACAAGCGGGGCCCTGCCACCTCCGGACGACGGGCCTCAGAGCGGGCGGGGCCGTGGCGACCGAGGAGGACGAGGGGTGACAAGGGTAGGGGGCACCGTTCCTCACCTGACACCAGAGAGCAGCGTCACAGCCCAACCCAGGCGGCGGCAAGATGGAACCCGGGGCGGGCCCGGGGAGGGCGGGGCGCCGGCGGCGGCCGCGCGAGCCCGTTAGGATCGCCGCCGCAGCCGGGAACGCCCCTGGGGCCGGAGGGGGGACGTGCCCGGCAGGGGGCGGCCCTAGGACTGGGGCTCCGAAAATCCCTTCGTCTCCGCCCCCTGCTCCACCTGTGGGGAAAGACGCCTCTTTCCGTGGACCAACCAGTTTTACCACATTTCTTCATCACAAGGATCGTGCCCCAACCCTGTTTTGGCTCTAGCTAGTGGCGCGGTTGCAGGGGTTGCAGCGGTTCTCAGGAATCCCGGAGCCCCTTCAGCGCTCGGTGGCAGACAAGGGCTGAGACTGGAGGCCAGGTGCAGCCTCTCCGTCTCTGATAAGCCGTGTACCCTTGTATCTTCCAGGGACAAGGACGGTATCTTTTATTAGCCCTCTGTGAAATGAATATTGATTGGAGTTCCTATAATGTCGTAACTCGAGATATACTAATCAAAACCACAAGGGAGTGGTTGGGTGATTCTAGGCTCTCTTTACACTTGAACCCATCACCTGACACACACATTAGCATTGAAAGTTTGAGACGATTTCAAGGGGCCAGACCAGTGTCTTCAACTCATAAAGAGAATTTGTATTCCACAGCAGAAACCAGTCAGCTACTTTTTACAGTGGTTTTCAGTGTCCCCAGACCGGCAGCAGCAACATCACCCGGAAACTAGGTAGAAATGCAAAGTTTTGGGTTCCACCTTAGATCTACTGAATCAAACTCTAGGGGTAGAGCCCAGCAATCTGTTTTAACAATCCCTCCTGGTGGCTCTGATGCACACTAAAGTTTGAGAGCCATCAACCTATTACTTTACATGCTTTTCTACCCAAAAGCTTCCTCAAGGGCGTGGGATTGGGTGGATTAAATTTTTAAATGGGGTGCGCTCTCCCTCTAGGGAGCGCTCCAGCGCCTTTCCCTTCCCCCCTGTTTCCCCCGACCCCTACCCAGGCGCATTACCTCTGCCTGTCTCTGTCCTAAGCTCCAAGAGCCCTTCTGCCACCTCTGTAACTTTCTAAATAAATTTTCTCTTATAATTTGAAAAAAAAATTAATTGGGAAGAGGAAGATATGTATGTATGCAAAAGAGGAGTGAAGTGGAAGGTACTTGAGGAAGGTCACTATCGAATTTAAACAAGCTGCACAGCACTTTGAGTACCCAGCACTTTCCCCCAGATCCTACGAGTGTGTCCACCTGGCAAATATCTGGCCTTTCTGTCCATCCTGCCCCTAGAGACCTCCAGAGTTTAAGCGTCCCTTAAAAGTGGGTCTTTACTACCTACATTCTGCATTATTCCCTTGGTGATCTCATCCCCACCCCTCCCTCTGCCTTAACTATAACCTTCAGAAAATATTTTTCAAACCTGACATATTTTTCCTGACATACAAGGCCTTTCATGATCAGAGGCCCATTCCTCATGCTTCCTCTACCTAGAAATCATAGGCTGCCTTTTAGCAATTATTCATCTATTAAAACAATCCAAAGACTGCCGAATTTCTCCCTGCTTCAAAAACTTTTCCTGACCTTCTCCTGCTGTTCCTTACCTTTTCTTGGGTAGATTTGTTTACCCAATTAAACCTTTTATAGATGTCTACTGTGGCACATTTAACAGTGGAATCATAGAGCATGAGCATTTAACTGACCTGTATTCAACCACTTAAACTTTGCAACAAAACGCCTCTGAAAGTCATCATGTGCTCCAGAATTCATGTGAAATAGTAGCCATTATGTGCCTCCTGATACGAACATTTCGTTGGGTCAGAGTCTACTTTTTGTACAGTTAGAGCAGTAATTTTGTCCCCCAGGGAACATTTCACAATGCCTAAAGACATTTTTGGTTGTCCCAGTGGGGGTGGGGAGGTGCTTCTAGTATCAAATGGGTCAAAGCCAAGGATGTTACTAAACATTCTACAACACACTGAACATCTCCCTAAACAAAGAAAGTTTCAGCCCAAAATGTGAATGGTGCTAAGGTTAATAATCCTGTATAATCTTTCTAAAAAATAGTTTTGTCATTCCCTTGATTAAACTGCTTCAACAGCTTCCCTCTGGAAACAGAATAAAAGTGAAACTCCTGGCCATTGTCTATGAGGCCCTATGCAATCTGGCCCCTGCCTACTTCTCTGACCTCATCCCTCTTCAACTTCCCTCTCATTGATGTGAGAGAGAAACATCAGTCAGTTGCTCCCATACACAACCCGGGGATTGAACCCAAAACCTAGGTATATATCCTGACTGGAGATGGACCCCACAACATTTTTCGTGTATAGGACAATACCCCCAACTGAGTCAACTGGCCAGAGCTTTGACTTTATTAGCACTTTAAGGCATCTGAAATTCTGGATGTTTACTATTTCCCTCTGCTAGAATGTAAGCTCTTTGAGAACATGGATATCTCCAGAGTCTAGTAATAAATGTTCAATGAATATTTGATTGACTATAACAGGGCCTCCAAAACCCAAGCCAACTATTTCATCTGGTAATCACCTAAATAGACAGAGATTTGTTTCTAATACTGGAAGACAAAATAAGACTGTTGATAGAAGGAAGTGTTAGAATCCAATGTAGTGTTATCCTAAGGGATTGTCAATGTAGTTTTAAAATTTTTTAATTTTTATTTATTAATTTTAGAGACAGGAAAGGGGAGAGAGAGACGGAGAGACAAACATCAACTTGTTGCTCCACTTATTGCTGCTTCAGTGATTCTTTTTTCCAAAAAATATTTATTTACTTATTTATTTTTGAGAAAAGGGAGGGGAGGGAGAAAAAAGGGAGAAAAACATCAGTTGTTTGCCTCTCACATGCTGTGCCACAGCATAGCCCAGGTATTCGCCCTGGATGAGAATCGAACCAGCAACTCCTCCCTTTGCAGGCCAATGCCCAACCAACTGAGCCATGCCAGTCAGAACTGATTCTTATTATTTAAAAAAAAAAAATGTGTTTTTATCCTCGCCAGAGGATTTTTCATTGCTTTTAGAGAGAGAGGAAGGGCTCTGACCAGTGTGGCTCAGTCGGTTGGGCATTGTTCCACAAAGCAAAATGTCACTGGTTCAGTTCTTGGTCCAGGCACATGCTTAGGCTGCAGTTTGTCAGGGCACATGGCAGAGGCAATCGATGTTTCTCTCCTTCTCTTTCTCCCTCCCTTCCCCTCTCTCTAAAAATAAATAAATAAAATCTTTTAAAAAATAATGTAACAGAAAAACATTGTTTGGCTGCCTCTCTTAGGCTCCCTGGCCAGGGATCAAACCTGCAACCCAAGCCCAGGCATGTGCGCCAACTGAGAATTGAAACTGCAACCTTTTTGGTGCACTGGCGATGCTCCAACCGTCTGAGCCACACAGGCCAGGGCCATTGGTTGATTCTTGATTCTTGTATGTGTCCTGACCACAGATTGAATGCCTAAGCTTGATGTATTGGGATGACACTCTAACCAACTGAGCTACCCAGCCAGGGCTCAATGTAGTTTTGAAAATACTATTCTTTTTCACTTCCCCTGATGACTTTACAAATATAACTCTACTATGTTGTCCTTGCTTATGTCAGTCCTCTCCTATTAAACTGTAAACACTTTAAGGGCAAAAGCCATCTTAGAATCCTCAGTATTTACCACTAAGCTAGGCATTTAGAATTTTATGTACTAACACCACCATTCTACTAAGTTGGGAATTTCTGTCACCTGTTACTGTGTGGTTTGTGTCTCCTGATTAGATTCTAATAGGTATGGTATGTCATACTTCATCAATCACAATCAGTAACCAAACCCTAAAGGTTTTACTTTCATGTTCTGTCTACAAAATGTCAGTTATTTTTCTAGCTATTTTCTATGGCTAGAAATCACCTCTTCCTTTCCATGCCCACCTTAGCTGACACCTGCATTTTCTTGTCTGAATAATAACAATAGCTTCTCAATTGGTTTTCCCATCATTAAACCATCTTACAGAGTACTACCAGTTCATCTGTTTATGTTATAGAATAAAATTTGAAGTGTTATGCATTTAATAGCTACCATTTTTAAGATCTATGATTTATGAATATTCTCTCCCATTCTTTTTTAAGACTTATTTATTTTGAGGGAGAGAAGAAGGGATGGAGAAAGAGGAGAGAAACATCAATGTGTGAAGATTTTCCCCATTTTCTTCTAAGAGTTGTATAGTTTTAGCTCTTTAGGTCTTTGATCCATTTTGAGTTAATTTTTATATATTACGTGAGGTGAACGTCCCACTTCATTCTTCGGCACATGGATGTCCAGTTGTCCGAGACCATGTTAAAAAGGTCGATTCTTTTCCCATTGAATTGTTTTGGTACCTCTGTTGAAAATTAGTTGACTAAAATTAAGGATTTATTTCTTGATTTTCAATTTTATTTTATTGTTCTATATGTCTGTCCTATGCCAGTACCACACTGTCTTGATTACCATTCTTTGAAGTAAATTTTGAAGTAGGGGGGTGAGTCCTCCAACTTTGCAAATATTCTCATTTAACCCTTATTGAAACTCTGGGTACTAGCCATTATCCCATTTTAAAAATGAGGAAATTTAAGGTTAGCTTTCCCACAGGCACAAAGCTTTTGGTGGCTGTCCCAGGATTCACACTCAGATCTATATAAAGCTGACCCATTGGCTATGCTCCTTCTCTACCTGGCCCCACTCTACCTTCCAGACTTAATTTATGCTAATCCCCCAACGTACCCTAATGTATCTCCTGTGCTTTTCTGCCTCCAAACTTCTGCTCCTATTGATCAAACTGAAGTGCCCTGCCCTCCATCTGTTCCATAAAACTCTAATTCATAAAATCTCCACTATCACTTAGCAAAGTGATCCCTCTTTCAATTTCCTTAGCACTACAAGCCTCTCTCGGGTTTTTATTCCACATTACGTCTTGTAATAAAGATATCTACGTATATGTATTATTTCCCTTCCTAGGTTAAGAATAAGGACCATGTCTCATTCAACTTTGTATCTCCCCAAAGCCCTAATACAATATTACATGGTAGGACCTAACTAAGTGTTTTGAATGAATAAATGAATTCTGACACTGCCCTGTCAGAGAGGGCAACAAGAATGTATAGGTGTGTGTTAGGGTTGGGGTGGGGCCTTGAGGCCCTGGCGAGGTTGTAAAAATGAATACCCAGAAAATATCCTAATCCTGCGAGTGTGATAAAAGAAGGAAGACATGAGACAGGGTGTGGTAGAATGGCAGGCCCAAACAGAGCTGACGTTACTCACTCCAAGAGAGAAACCTCCGGTTGTGTGTATAGACAGGTAACACTTGCCAGTGAAAAGGAAATAAGAAAAACAAGTGACTTAAGAAGCCCCAGACTGAGTTTATTGTAGTATCACAACCCTCTTTTCTAGGTATCCAGTCAGAATCTGGCTCAGCTATTTAAACTCCACCATCTATTTTCTCTTCCAACTGCCTCTCATCCAGCTGGCAGGAGCTTCCAAGAAATGTGATATAGTAGGCACTGCAATACACTGGCTGCTTGTTGGGGTTGGAATAGACCTGTTCAGGTTTGAGGGACGTGAAAGGGTTGGCTCCATAGGCGATGATGTGTGTATTTAGGTCCACCAGAATCTGCAAAGAGGCTGCCAACTCCTCCTGGCTATGGGAAACATACAAGAAAAATTGCTCTGCTGATTATGAGAGACAGGAGAGAAACTGCTCAGAACTTGACATTTCTATACTCATCATGCCCAAAGATTACCTAAAGCTGGACTAGGCAAGGCTATCCCTCCCTCCCAAATGTCTCACTAATTACCAGTTTACTACCATAGACCTTTGTTCCAAAGAGAACGAGAAAACCAAGTCTGAGAAGGAAGAAAATCCTCACCAGACGGCAGAAGATGAGCAAGGGGGAGAGAAATAAGCTCATCTGTATAAAGAGAATATGAGTGAGTCAGGGAGGTATCACAAATAAGAAGAGGTTGAAACCTGTAAACAGTAATCAATGTCGGGATCTCATAATCACGAAGGAGCAGAAGGGTGGGCAGCCAAGCCTCCATCAAGTCCGGGGAAGCATGAAAACCTATGGAATAGAGAGGGGAAAGGCTGAGGTAGACCTTAAGCAAGATACTTCTCTAACTGTGTCCACCCTAATCCTCACCTTGCTCACTGCAACGCTCATTTACCACCCTCACCCACCTCAGATTCTGCGACAGAGAATTCTGAACCCAGGTGTAGCACATATGGCTAATGATCAGCAAGGCCATTATCATAGTGTGTCTAACCTGACCAAATAAATGGGGCTCCAAAGACAGGAGACACAAGAGTCAGCACGGAAAATTCCCAGATGACCCACCCAGTCTTCCCCTGAACAAACGACTCTTACCTGGATGGAATGCCGCCACCAAATCTGGATGGGCTGTCTGCCCAGTCTCTACCTGCTCCTCCCAGAAGTTATGGTAGAGGCCCCTATGGCCACTAAGCTGAACTGTGCCAGGTTCCAGTGGTGAAGTTGAGATGCTTTGTGAAAAGCCAGCAGCAACATCTACACCCACCATTATTATATGGAAGCCAAGGTGTCCAGGAAACATGTAACCAAGCTCATCGTAGTCCCCGGGGCGAGCGAGGAATGTCTCCACATGGGAAGCACCAACTACATGCACTGTGCTTCCTCCACTCTTCTTAACATTTATCCCCAAGGCCTGAAGCCCAAAGCCCAGCGTCAAGGGCCGTGACAGGGCATCTGTCAGGAGTCGCTTCAAAGAGCCCTGGAGAACATCTGGGTCTGGCCTCGGCCTTCCTGCACTGGCCCACAGTGTGGTCATGGCATGACTACCTAGCACAGCATCCATTGTAGCATCTAGCTGTAAACGCCGCAGAGAAAACCAGGTGTCCCAGCCCTGCACAGCTTCAGCCAGCCATGGCCAAGGTCCTGAGGGTAAGACAAAATCTCCTGCAGGGAAGAAGGAACAAGAAGTGACCTAATCCTTCCCTGGCCTCAATATTCCTTCTATGTTCAGTCTCCCAACCTGTGACCAGAAATGCCCTGCTACCCTGCCCCACTCAGTTCCTCATTGTTTCCTCATAACATGCTTTCCTTTCTCTCTCCAAGCACCATCGCTGACCATTATGGCAGAATTCCCGCCCACCACCACACCACCTGTGACCAGAAGCCATTCCATGAGACGGTCCACAGCTACAAGACGCAGCTCTTGACAAACTTTCTTGTGCGCTGGCCAATCTGACCTCTGGCACTCTGGGCCACAGTAATAGACATTTCTGCACCTGAGAGAGTAAGCCCCAGAAATATTTGTTCCTATACTGCGAAGATTATTGGGAGAACATCTCGGGGAGAGAATTGATATTCCTGTTCCTAAGAAAAAAGATTACTGGGCAAGGAAGGCAGAGAGAAGAATAATGGCTGAGGCATCAAATTTGGGGACTATATTTAGAAGGGAAGGCAGGGGGCAGTGAGAATGCAGTTTTTCTCTTGGGTCAGAGTGACACCTTAGTCTTTATCTAAAACAACCCTTTTTACATCCCTTACAGAAAAAATAACTCCAGTAGTTTGTGGCTGCCCTCTTATCATGGGCATGTCTCTACCCCAACCTCCCCAGAACAGATTATGGTCTTACCCCTTGAGTACTAAAGAGGAGGAAGGTAGAGAGAATTGTACTGTGGTCCACATCTGACTTCCCTGTAACACCAAAAATAAGCAAGAGCCCAACCCTTTTCTTATCTCTCTATGGCCTGGATCACAGAAAACGAGGAGTAGGCCTCAAGTTTTTCTGAAAACTCTCAGACCTTTCCTCCCACAATGAGGTCTTAGAACAGGATCATTTCCAGATGTCTCCCCTACTGGCCCCTGACTAGTCACCTCTTGCAGTGTCGGAGAACCTTGGAGTCTGAAAGCGTGTTAGGAAGTGCTCTACAGTAAGCACAGAATCGGAATGTGTCCTCCATCTTCTGGAACATTTCTTGAGGGCATCGAAATCCAAAGCCTGATGCAGGAGTACCACCATCTATCACCAGTCTGCAGGGATAGCATGGAGAAGGAGGGGCAATAGGAAAAAGAACATCCCCGAAATTTCTCATGACACTTCCCTTGCCACCTATATACAGGGGTGGCCAAAAGTAGGTTTACAGTTATTCATATGGAAAAAGACATAATAATAAATAACAATACAAGAATAAACTCTGTGTTTTCCATCCTCACAATTGTAGGCCTACTTTTGCCCAGCTCTGTATTTCCCCCAACTCTCATTATTTCTGACTCAGCAAATTACATATTTTAAAATTTGTATAGTAATAAACTGGCAAAAGTCAGGATGAGAAAAACCCCTTGTTGCAAATACTCGATTATCCTCAAGTTATAGTCCTTCTCCACCTTTTGAAATCACTTCCACCAGAGACAATATATTGCTCTTCCACAGAACTAGTCACTCACTTGTATTCTTCATAGCTTTTCATGTTCAGCTTTTGAAGAATCAGCTGGGAGAGTCCAGGAACATTTTCCTCCAAGGAGGAGAAGCCAAGTGCATCAATGCTGGGGCCAGGTTTTGAGAGGGCAAGAGGCACAGGGGTCACAGCCAAAGGAGCCTTTGCTGGGGGAGACTTCTTGTGTCTTCGTTGCCGGTGCCGTGGAGCCATGGCTTGTCTGCTGGTACCTATTTAGGGGACTGTATGGAGACAAGATAGGGAATGAAATTTCGCAAGCTGGATACATATGATGTGTCTTCACATATTTGACCTTTTGCTTCTTATTCTAGTCTCTCAGATCCAGGTATCAATAAGATTTATTTCATATCTACTGATTTTTGATCACTACAGTCAGTTGTGAAAAATAGAGGGGGAATATTACACATGAAGTTCCATATAAAATATAAATATACAGGATCTGGAACAAATAATGCCCCTTTTTTATTAGGCGAAAATCTTTTTATTACAAAATCATAAGCATAAATATCACAATATCACACTCAAGCACACCATATGACATTTTATGTGAAATGTTCTAATTGCTGTCCACCTCATGCAAGACAATCACATACCCACCAATCACACTCAATGGCAATACTTCTGTAGGACCCTGTATATGTAAGTAATGCATTAAAAAAATGTCTGGCAGCACTCATCTAAAATGATTAACAGTGGTTAACTGAGGGGAAGAGGCGCTAAGGTAGGAACTGAGTTGATCAAAGAAAACTGTAGACTTAACTGTAATGTTTGATGTTTTTATACAAAAAAAATTCACTCATATTATCAGTGCATTTTAAAAATCAACTTAAAAGAAAGGGAAAAGCAACAGAAGTTCTGACTTCCAAAGCTACCATCTAACTGGAGAATTCATCAATCTAATTCAGTTTGGAAAGTAAAACATTCATTTTAAAGGATCTATCATCACATTCATAAGCGATAGACCAAGAAGTAAAAATTAAATGCAAAACAAAATGAGTACCACAATGCTAAGAGTCAAAGCAAAATATGCAAATTATGAGAAAATTCCCTAAATAGGTGAGTTTTAAAATGGCAATAATCCCACACACACAGCCACACCCACCCATACTACCCTGTGGAACTCTGTGATGTCCTTCCTCTCTCCCTGGTATACCATTCCTTCCAAAGTGCTAAGTAAACAAAAAGGATGGCATAAAAAAAACCATATTCATTTAATAAACATTTATTTTTAAATGGATAGAATCATTTATAAAATACTGTAATGAAAAATATACTTAACACTTTGGAGGTCACAGCTGAGAAATACAAACCAACTTTTTTCTTAAATATTGTTACATATATCGGGTGCATAGGTTCAAGGTCAGGACTAGCTGTGCATTTGCACATGACTAATGTTAAGCCATAACCTTTAAGCCATTAGTTTGGCTATAACATGTGTTTTGTAAGGGTGTGTGATATTCGATGGTAAATTTTATCTGAGAGATACCGCGAATTCTGAATTCAGTGTTGGTGTTAGGTGCTATATATCCAAAAATGTTAAAGACATTTTTTGTTGTATTTTTTAGCAATAGCCATCTTTCCATTATTTGAAAAGAAAAATTTGCATTCATTATGTTCTTATATTTAATAATTTCTAGATTATACGTGAAAATAAATTAAATATCATGTATTTTATTATATAAATATAATAAATCCAAGTTTGCAGTGCTATTTTTTCCTGCATTTCAGCACATACTAGTAATGTATGTATCTCTTGGATACACATGACCTATGGTGTAACTTTTTTGACTACAACCTCTGTGGAGTTAACATCTACATGTCTTATAGAGGGATTAAATATAAACTATAGTATAAGGCTGCATATATATATCATATAAGAAAAGTGAAACTAAAGCACTAATGGGAATCAAGAGAAGTGAGTCTGTTCCGTTGGTGAGGTATAAGAAGGCTTTATGAGGCAGGGAGCGATTGGAATAGACCAGCAATTTCCCTCCCTCCCTTCCTCTTGCCCTCCCTCCCCCTTGCCCTCCCTCCTTCCCTCCCTTCTTCCCTCCCTTCCTTCCTTCCTCTCTTTCTAAGATTTTACTTATTTTTAGACAGAGGGAAAGGGAGGGAGAAAAAGAAACATCAATGTGTGGTTGCCCCTTGCGTGCCCCCTACTGGGGACCTGGCCTGCAACCCAGGCATGTGCACTGACTGGGAATCGAACCAGCAACCCTTTGGTTCTCAAGCCAGCACACAATTCACTGGATCACACCACCCAGGGCAGACCAGCAATTTTCAACTGGTGCACTGCAGCACAATGGTGTGCCCTAAGAATTTTTAAAACATACAATACTTGACTATTTAGTCAGGGACGCTGACCCTTTCCCACTTAGACTGTCAAATTAAAAAATGACAACTAACACAACAATAACTGTCTAGTATAAATGAATCAAAATTATACCTGTTTTTGTCAGATCAGCAAATATATTTTTTGGAGTGCCACAGGATTATAGTAATTAGTTTATGTGTGCCATAAGATGAAAAAGGTTGAGAATCACTGGAAGAGACCATGAAAGATGGTAATGCTTTGAATACAAGGATATAGTAAAAAAGGAATTCTAAAAACAAAGAACATGAGCATAGAAATATAGAGCTTGACTACTGAATCTAAAAACCTTAACATAAGAGCTAAAATTATAGTCTTATAAAAAAACTTAAGGGACTCAGCTGGTGTGGCTCAGTGGATTGAGTGTCAGCCTGTGAGCCAAAGGGTCACCAGTTCAGTTCTCAGTAGGGGCACATGCCAGGGTTGCAGGCCAGGCCCTTGGTGGGGGGCATACAAGAGGCAACCACACATTGATGTTTTTATCCCTCTCTTTCTCCCTCCCTTCCCCTCTCTAAAATTAAATAAAATCTTAAAAACAAACAAACAAAAACACTTAAGGGAGCCCTGGCCAGTGTGGCTCAGGGGTTAGAGCATCATCCCATTTCTGAAAGGTTGCAGGACTGATCCCCAGTCGGGATGTGTACAAGAGGCAGCCAATTGGTATTTTCCTCTCACATGGATGTTTCTTTCTCACATCAATGTTTCTCTTTTTCCCTTCCTCTGTCTCTAGAAGCAATGAAAAAATATCCTCAGGTGAGGTTAAAAAAAACAAAACAAAACAAAACAAAACCCCACCTCATAATGGAAAGTTTCATGATATTGGATATGGCAATTTCTTGGTTATGACAACAAAAGTATAAGCAACAAGATGGCAAAGGCAGGAGTGGAAGTCACACTGACCTCCTCCCAGGGCCAATCTGGAATTACAACTAAATTGTGGAGAAATCACCGGGAACAAATGACTGAACAATAGCAAGAGAGGAGCTTTATAACCTCGGACAGACAGAAGAATCAGCTTTAACACAACCTAATTGGTAAGGAGAGTGGTAGAGACTCAGGAAGATGGGCAGAGAGCCCACAGGTGGCAATTAAAACGGCCAGTTGGATCCCCCTGAGAAGAGCGGGGTCTAAACCATAAGTGGGGATATCCAGCCTACAGCACCAGAGCCCAAAAAGTACACAGATAACAGCCAGCTGCGAAAAGCAGCAGGGTTGCTCTCTGCCATATACAGGAGGTTGGAGATGAAAAGAGTCTTTCAAAGGGCCAACGCATAAATTTTTATTTGCAGCCACTTACCTTGGGCTTTGACAAAGGTAGGGGCGGAGTGGGCTACAGACGTCTGAGGAGAGATTGGGGAAGGAGGCTTTGGGGAGAGAACTGAGAGAGAAGCCGGTGAAATCCCAGTGCTGACTCCTCCCCCACGTGGCAGCAGCCATCTTGCTCAAGCAGACCACTCCCCAGAGTGGCAGCAGCATGAGAGGACCCAATAACCCCGCCCCCAGGAGGGTCTTCACCCCACCCTGTGGTGTCTCTAAGCTGGCCCGCTGAGTGCAGAGTGATTAGATTAACAGCTGAAGGAGACAGCCACAGGCAGTCGATTCCTGGAAGTCTCTAACAGACTGCCTAAGGCCAGACAGGGCCAACAGCTGACATAATCAGAGGCAGATCCAGAAAGAAAAAAACAGCAGCTTCCTACCATAGAAGTTCACACCACAAATCAGGAAATCAAGACGGATCACTTTAAGAAGCAGAAGCAAAAGGGAAGAGCCTCACAAATAATGGGAAGACATAGAAACGCCCCCCAGTCAAAGGGAAAGGAGGAATCCCCACAAAAAGAATTACATGAAATAGAGGCAAGTAAACTATCAGATAGTGAGTTCAAAACAACAGTGCTAAGGAAGCTCAACAAGCTCAGTGAGCTCAGAGAAAATTACAAAAAATACAGGGAAACTATGAGGAACTTACTGCAAATTATATCAGCATGAAAAAGGACATAGAAACTATTAATAAGAGACAAGAGGAAATGAAGAATGCAATTTCTAAATTGAAGAACACAGTAGAAGGAATCAAAAGCAGGCTAGGTGAAGCAGAGTATTGAATCAGCCAGCTGGAGGATAAGGTAGAAAAAAAGCTCCCAGAAAGAGCAAGAAAATGAAAAAAGACTCAAAAAGAATGAAGAGAAGTTTAGGGAAATGCAGGACAACCTAAAATGTAATAATATCCATACAAAAGGGATACCAGAAGGAGAAGAAGAGGAGCAAGGGATAGAGAACCTGTTTGAAAAAGTGATGGAAAACTTCCCTAATTGGAGGACAGGAAAAGTCACACAAGTCAAGGAAGCACAGAGAGTCCCATTCAAGAGGAATCCAATGAGGCCCGCTCCAAGACACATCATCATTAAAATGGCAAATAGCAAAGACAAACACAGAATCCTAAAGGCAGCAAGGGAGAAAGAGGTACTAACACACAACAGATCCCCAGTACAGCCAGCAGCTGACTTCTCAACAGAAACACTGCAAGCAAGAAGGGAATGGCAAAACATATTTCAAGTCATGAAAATCAAAGGCCTGCAACCAAAACTGCTCTATCCAGCAAGGCTCTCAATTAAAATGGAAGTCAAAATAAGCGGCTTCCCTGACAAAAGAAAGCTAAAAGAATACACCTCCACCAAACCAGCATTGCAAAATATGCTAAAGAGACTGCTTTAAGAAGATGAAGAAAAAAGATCTATGAATACCCAATCCCTTCACAGTCATTAATACTTGATATTACCAATATTTGTAATATTTATTAATGATTGTGACAGATGTTATTTTAATTGTCCTTTATTATTTG